GGGGGGGGGGGGATTAAAAATTGGAAGACAATATACTTGTTACCCCGAAATTTAATAATTTTAGCATAAAGAAATTTATTTTCACCAATACGGGGAATAAAACTAAAAATTTGTGATTTTTCAAGAAAATATACAATATACACCCCCAACCTCATTATTAAATATACAATATAATATATACACCCCCTGCTTCAATATCAAATGTACAATAAACACCCCATGCCTCAATATTAAATATACAATATACACCCCTGCCTCAATATTAAATATACAATATACAATATACAACCCCTGCCTCAATATACAATATACAGTATACACCCCTTCAATTTAATATTATGGTATTATACAAAAATTATTTTCATCCCAAAATTTATTAAACTTTTTTTCCACAAAAAAGATTTTTAAGATATTAAAATCGTTAAAAAGTTAATCACTCCGACTCAAATCTTAAAAACAAAAAACTTTTCTTTTCCAGCTATTATCTAACTCCGGTTCCATTTTTACAAAATGAAATGGAAATGTTTAAAATTCCAAATTTTCAAAAACTAATTATATGTTTAAGTAATAAAATTGGTTGTGTCCCTGTGGTTCTAGGAGATCTAATATTTGGGCAAACTTTTCCACTTTAAGGCTAGGAGGGGACTGGGTGTACTTGATAATAAACTCTGGTTTGGAGAGGGGTGTCGCAGGGAAGGGGTGGAGCTTGTAAGATACATCCCTGAACACTAGGCAGGGTGACTGCCCACCCACTGAAATATTTAATCATATAAACTAAAAAAAATAATTTTAAAGTTTAATAACGGTAGTTCATTTTTCAATGGTTTCCAAAGGCAAAAGCTACAGGAGTCCGAATTTAATGAGTTTAAGCCGTGTCTCAAACCCCCCAAAAACCGGTTTCAATTGAGCACCGGCTTAACTCTGGAAAAATTGAATACAATTTTAAGTGAAACAAACTATATTTAAGCCGCGGCTCAAATTCTTTAAATTCGGCCTCAGGAAACTTATTTTTTTAAATCAAAATTTGAAAATCATCAGAATAAGTTTTTCTAAAATTTTTCTTTATTGTTAATGTTTCTGTAAAAAACATTAAAAAGAAAATAAGAAAATATTTACCAAAAACATAAAATTCATCTGTCGTAAAATCTGATTTCAAGTTATTCTCTGCAAAAATTATCGGCTTTATCTGATCTCCTTTTAGCACAAGAATCCATTTTATTTCTTCTTCACATTCAAATACTTTCGTCGGCCGATCAACCGCAACTCCACTTTCGATTCTATAAATCGTCCATCTTTTTCCCGTCTTGACGATAATGTAAATAAGATCGTTAAAAACGGTCGAAAAAACGATTTTCCCAGTTTGAATGCTGAAGAGTGTTTTCTCGCCCTCCCGACAGATCTATTCTCATATCAATATGTATGAGCTAAAAGGTTCAAAGACAAAAAAAATCAATTACATAAAATCTACGGGAAAAAATTCCAATACGACGAATTGAGGAAATTTAAACTTTAAAATCTGCAGTAACAATTTCATATAATGCACAGGAAATAAACATCTTAGAAGTCCTTAACTGGACTGTAAGCGTAATTTCAAGTGACCCTCCATACCCAATTCACAAGGGTACCTTTGATACCTTTTATCTGATAAATAATGTGGAAGATATTGTTGTTAGTCGAGGGTAAATATGTTTAAGCCTAATAATTCCCAAAAGTTTTCCTGCAGTAGAAATGCGCAAGCCAATTTTTTAGAGAAACCACAATTGAAAATTATCAGTTTCCATAGTTATGAACATTGATGTCCAATTCAAACTTGATCCGGAAAAGACTTGAAAAGGTATTGTTGTAAATCGGATTCACCAATCTACAGTTTCTTATATAAAATCGTCTGAAAATTCTTAAATAATTTCCTCAGCTAAAATATCGTCTAAAAATTCTGTTTTAGAAAAATAATATTTTCGTCTATTGCAAAAGTAAAGTCTGAGCGCAAATGAGAGAAAAAAATATGACGATTTTTAACATAAATTCTTTTATTCCATGATAAAATGTTATAATTTCGGACTGTTTCAAATCCAATCAATCAATCAACTAATCGATCAATCAACTAATCAATCAATCAACTGCACTCATGCAATAGATTTGCCTTGATAACTGAAGTTGAGAAGATGGCACAAACTTCATCTATAGTTCAAGGGTATATAATTGTAACATAAATCAAGCTTTCACAGAGAAAATAGAAAACTGTGGAATAGGAAGACGACATTTAAGTAATCTTTTGTGCATTTGAGGTTGTTTCGAGCCAATAGTTTTACCAGAAGCTTGAAAATTCACGAATTTAGTTAATTGGGTTTGTGTACAATTGCTGTATTTCATGTTTAATAACCTATTTAAATCATAATTGAATCTAATTTCGCCTTCCTATACCAGAGTTTTATAGATTTCAAGGTATATAAATGTAAAGAAATTAAAATATAACAACGAACTATTATATGAAGTAATGATCTTATAAAAGTAAAAAGACTTCGATTTCATTCAAGTCGAAAGACATTTATTCTTCAATGCTCAACTTTTTAAAGGAGAATCAAACTGCCGAAAAGGATTTTATATCTATATTTATATATCAGTTTAATTTTCACAAAATGTTCCAGACCCAGTTTTAGAGATAAGACAGTTTTCAATCTTAAAATTCGTTCATTATTTCACTGTTATTTGGTTATCAATGTATGAAATTAATTTTCTTTTAACGTTCAAATGTGACTGATTTCAATAAAATTTGTTAAAATCTCATTATCTACCCCTCTCTTGATGTCTCCAAATTCTTGATGGAATCTCGTTAACGTTCAAATCTCTAATCGGTCAGAAAAACGTTTAATTTAAATAATGACAAAGTGAAATAAAATGGAACCCTCGAGTCCGTGCTAAAATCATTCATAGAATACTTGACTTTGCAATCAAACTATTTTTAACGTTAAAAAATAAATTCATTACTTTTATTTCTTTTTGGACATGTGAAATTAGAGTTAAGGCACCAAGGGCATAATTGATGATTTACGAGAGTCAAGTCGTAGCTTTATTGAATAGAAGGAGCCACATTGGGCACCTATTTGAAAACTAATGTCAATCAATTACGTTTTAAACCTTTTTATTTAATTTTAAAATCCCCCAATATATGTAAATTCCAGATTTAAAAACAATTACTTCATATGTTCGTATGTTGGTAAAAAAGTATTTAAAAGGATAAAATAATTTTCATTTCCATTTCCCCAGCAAATCATCAAAATCATTTCTCATAAAGCTCCTCTGATAATTTTTAATGTTAAAATTAGACTAGGTCTTGAAATTTCAAGGACCAACAATAGACAGTTTAAAATATCTCCCTAACACATAGAAATTTTTGACTGTAATGACTCAACTGTAGAACTACTCTAATCAGAACTTCTATATTATACAGGGTGTCCCAAAAAACATGGGAATTCAGTGACGAATTCGATATCGTCTTTGTTATGAATTAGCATTGTAATACCTAATTTCAAAAGCAATAATATTATTATGTCTGCTAGAGTTTATTTTATGAAAACGGTAAAAGACTCTAAAGATGTGTCTATAATGTCTCCGCACGATGAACCGTGAAGACGGACAAGTTTACTCTGTTTGTATACTGCACTTTTCTTGTTTTACTAAGTACACCCGTATGCAGTCAAAACATAAACAAACAAATTGTAAACATAGCAGACGAAACTTTTACAGATTACAGCTTTCTCATTAGGTATCACTATACTAAATCAAAGAATTATTTAAAAAGACGATATCGAATTCGTCACTGAATTCCCATGTTTTTTGGGACACCCTGTATATACTTTGCATGTCTGTCCGTTTGTATCGAATAAATGTCAAGACGGCTAAACCAAATTTTGTGTGCGACCTCACATGACCCCAGGGATGGTTTATAAATGATCAAAATTTCCAAAAACTGTGTAAAAAAGTTTTTGATTTTTGTAAAAATTAGAAAAATCCGCGAACTTTTATGATATTACGAATTTATATTGTACAATGAAGATGATCACAGATAGAGCCACAATTATATTGTAAAAATTAGAAAAATCCGCGAACTTTTATGATATTACGAATTTATATTGTACAATGAAGATGATCACAGATAGAGCCACAATTATAAGTTTTAATAGAAGATGATCAAAGATAGAGCCACAATTATAAGTTTAAATAAAAGATTATCACAGATAGAGCCACAATTATAAGTTTAAATAGAAGATGATCACGATAGAGCCACAATTATAAGTTTAAATAGAAGATGAGCGCGAAGCGCCATAAAAGCCTTGAAACATAAATTCAACTGATCCCTTATAGATTTCAGCTTCTCGAAAACTACATCTTTTATCATTTTTATCTGAAAGAAAAGAGAAAAAACAATGTTGATATGTCGGAAACACTTTATTTAACATGTTACTATTGTTACCTTTTAAATTATTAAATGCAAACGGTTCAATGAAAATGCAAAGAAATTGAAGTAACTAAAATCACGATAACAACGGCAAATAAAGATTAGCTCAATATCTTTGTATAGTCGGCTCGTAACATATTTGTTCAGCCATAACACAAAGAAACTTGGCTAGATTCGACTAAGCTAATATTCGACTAATACTAGGATGTATGTCCGCCAGGATGTTGGGTTGGCGATCTTGAACTCTGATCTATGCAGTTGATTCCTTGAGGTAGGCGATCAGATTAGAACGATCCTTAGCCTTCTTCAAACCTAAATATAATATAATCAGTGCTTAGAACTCATTTAATTTTGATGCGGATCCTGGATCCGCACTGAAAATAAATTGATTTGGATCCAGGTCAAGAACATTTTTTTAACATTAAAGATATTTTGAACAGAAGAACAATTTAAAAATTAGTTTTAATTATCTCTCAATTTTAACAGTTGAGATTTTGGGGTTGAGAGAAAATTTTTTTTGGTAAATAATTTGCTATAAAGTTGCGGATCCAACCGAACCGGAACCAGGATCCAACGGAACCGAATCCAGGATAACGGAAAAAATGACCAATATAGAATTTAACAATTGTAAGAAAAAAATAAAAGATGAAAAAGTAAAGATTCTAAGAAAGAAACAAAATCGTAAAATATTGAAGAAAAAAGTCTAAACACAAATTCTGCAACAAATAGAGAAAAGTATTATCTTCCAAGTAAGCAAAAACATTAAATCTTTAGGTTAGAAAGCAAAACTTACAAAAGAGAAAAACTATATTCATGTTGTCACTTGTCAGCTTACCTGCGAATACCATCTTAGTGCCTGGGATATACTTCTTAGGGTTGGTTAGATAAACGTCCAGGGTATCCTCTCCCCAAGTGATTCCCTTATCCTTGTTAGCCTACACGGATTATTTAGTTATTTATTTGATTAATATCAGTGTTATTATTATTTTTGTCTATATAATAAAACAAGGCATTCGTATATATAGATGTTCCCTATAGCCGGCCAAACGGCTGGACCGAATGGGCTGACATTTTTTGTGGACACTCTTGGGTGGCCGGGGGTTGTTATTGACTATAAAAAATCTTAATTTTCTTCCACTGGCAACGCCGGGCACTTCAGCTAGTAATTAATATAACAACTATGTTGTAGCCCATGTCAGCTGGCTAATTTCAACCTAAAATAATATGATCGTGGTAAATCCCCGACAAGGAATGCACAGACTACCATCGGACGTTGAGGGACAGAACTGCTTATTCCGCCACCTCAAGTCTTTCCCCCCAATCAGGTTCTCAGGACTAAATGAATGCACATGGTAATTACGTTCGAGTAAAAATTCTCCTGATAAAAGAATTAGGTGTACTATGTGTACTGTACCTGAGTATAGGTGTAATAAGTGAACTGTACCTGAATATAGGTACTTAATTTGACGGTACCTGAATATAGTAGGTACATAATTATACGGTACCTGAGCATAGGTGTACAAAGAGTACTGTACCTGAGTATAGGTGTACTAAGTGTTACACTGTACCTGAGTATAGGTGAACTAATTATACTGTACCTCAGTATAGGTGTACAAAGAGCACTGTACCAGAGTATAGGTGCACTAAGTGTACTGTACCTGATTACAGATGTACTAAGTGTGGTGCACCTGAAAACAGGTGTACTGTACCTAAGTACAGGTGTATTATACACGAGTATAGGTGTACAAAATGTACTGTACCTGAGTATAAGTGTACCCGGAGGCCTGCCCGGTTGCCCGACCAAAGAGACCGTTTAGGTTCGGTCCTTGCTTGTGCTTTCCTCCCTTCTCTACAGTATGGCACTGAGAGCAGGCCTAAACATCAATCAATCAATCAATCAATCAATCATGGCATTTTAAAATGAATTCTGAAGATTATATCAGAAATATAACAAACTAGTTATAGTGCGGCATTTATTAGATAGAGGGACATGTCTGATTTCCAACGTTGCCCTTCAAACCTTTGTCTAGTTGAAAAGTAAAAAAATATCATCGTTTTTCTCTATTTAATGTATTTAAGTAACTTGCAGAATCTATGCAACGGAGACCAAGAACGTAATTAAATGGTGAAAATATTAAAATATCATCCACCCTGTTGCTTAGATATAGGTTAAAAAGGTACAATTGTGCATCAGACATGCTACTTTTTAACATCTAGCAGAAAATTATACCTTGGTAAAGATCTTCTTTCCTTCTTCAGCAGACATTGTTTCAAGTTTTTATCTGGAATAATAAATTATTATTTATACAGCCTAGTTTGTATATAATATATAAGGAGTGTACAGTGTACACTGTACTGTACAATGTTTGTTTACATCTGCTATTGAATCAAACGTATTTCTTAAACTCAATGTAAATTGTTCTTGATCTATGAATGGCAAATAGTCGTGCTGAAAATTATTACATTTGACTACATATAAATTCAGCATCGAAGCATTAGTTTGTACAGATTGTATATTAGGGATATTTAATAAGTGTCGCCATTGCAGGTTGGGATTCTTGTTCAGCTTCTTATGTTCTATACCAGGCCTGGACTTGGTGCATTCTTTTAACTTTCTTCTGTAGCTGCAGGAACCCATACATAAGGGCTTCAGCAGTTGGAGGGCATCCTGGTACATAGATATCCACAGGTACAATCCTAAATATATCCTGGTACATAGATATCCACAGGTACAATCCTAAATATATCCTGGTACTATCCACATGTACAATTCTAAATATATCCTGGTACATAGATATCCACAGATACAATCCTAAATATATCCTAGTACATTAATATCCACAGATACAATCCTAAATATATCGTGGTACATAGATATCCACATGTACAATCCTGAATATATCCTGGTACTATCCACATGTACAATTCTAAATATATCCTGGTACATAGATATCCACAGATACAATCCTAAATATATCCTAGTACATTAATATCCACAGATACAATCCTAAATATATCCTAGTACATAGATATCCACAGATACAATCCTAAATATATCCGGGTACATAGATATCCACAGGTACAATCCTAAATATATACTGGTAAATAGATATGCACAGATACAATTCTAAAAATATTCTTGTACATAGATATCCACAGGTACAATCCTAAATATATTCGGGTACTTAGATATCCACATGTACAATCCTAAAAATATTCTTGTACATAGATATCCACATGTACAATCCTAAATATATTCGGGTACATAGATATCCACAGGTACAATTCTAAAAATATTCTTGTACATAGATATCCACATGTACAATCCTAAATATATTCGGGTACATAGATATCCAATTGTACAGACAATTTTTTTTGCAAACTTTCAATCTCTAGAAAAATATATGATGAAAATAGCTTAAATGCTTTACTAAAAGCTAATTTCTGTAAAATTTATTTCATTAAAAATAGCCATTTAAAGGTTTTCAATTTTTCTAACCTGTCGCAACCCCTGACAACTGCATAAGAGTAATGATAGTATCCACCTCCGTTAGCACAGCTGCCCATAGACACAACCCATCTAGGCTCAGGCATCTAGAAAAATCAACATACTGATTAAGAGCAGATGCGTACACGGGGGGGGGGCTATCCCCTCCCTATAAGGCAAATTCCTGTTCATGTCCCTAAGGGAGATACACTCACTCTCCTTAAGGGGTTAAAAGATGTTTTAAATTAATATGTTTGTCCCTTCAGGAAGGAGAGCACTAATTCCTAATTTAAGTAAAAAGAATACTTGCCGTAAATAAGATTTTTTTTTTAGAAAGATTTTGCTACTTATGAACCAAATTCATATAAAAAAGTGTTAACCTCTAGGGAAATAAGAAGTGAATCTCAGAAGTAAGGGAAAACATGATCCGAAAACTAAGGCCGGACAACGTTACGTTAAAAAACGGTAAGTTTTTGAAAATTAACGGAAAAGTCCATTCTTCCAGCTATTTGTAAATGAAATAATCGTAAACTGATTTTTAAACTATCCTCCCTTAACGTCGTTAATATATTTGAGATCGTTAACAAACGGAAACTTTGAGGAAAAAAAATGAAAATGCTGTTAGCGAACGGAACGTTCAATTCTTAATTTATGAACAAACAAGATAACTAAAAAGTTTTTTTGAACGTTTTTGACTAACCGTTAAATAAAATGTGCTCGGCCCTTGCAGAAAACCCAACCACCAGCGGGGACAAACAATAACAATAGTTTACGGGAGCTCCGTTGCTTAGTGAGGAGCGTCACTAGTTACCGTACCGAGGGTTGGGGGTTAACCCAGGGAGTAAGGAATAGAAGGGAGATAAAACTGACGCGGTTCGCCCTACCATATGATTATACATGCTTTGCAGATGGGTACTTCATTTGAATAAAAAATATTTGACTGATGTACATTTACTGCGTAATCGTATACATTAACCTATTCTGAATATTTCTTATACAAATGAAGTACCGTCTGCAAAGCATGTATAATCATATGGTAGGGCGAACCGCGTCAGTTATATCTCCCTTCTATTCCTTACTCCCTGGTTTAACCCCTCGTTCCAAGATTCCAAATAAAATTGAAGTCTTGCATTGTACATCTTGCTTGCTCTCAGCATTCCGACCGATGGTATTAAATTTCCATCTTTCTTCGGAGGTCATTACACTGAATGACATACCAATACTCAAATCGGCCATGAGACAGTTGTAATAAACTTCTCTGGTGCGCGAACCTCAGACCATTCAGTAGGCGCCACAAAAACTTATTTCCATTTACGCTACTATGGTTCAATCGCTACAACAAGAGTTCACCTGGTCATAAACCTTCCTGAAGGCAGGAGCCATCTTATTTGTGAGAGTTCCAGCAACAATAATTACATCAGCTTGCCGGGGGGAAGCACGGAAAACGATTCCGTATCTAAAAATCAATCTATCAGTCAAAAAAAAAGTGATGTATCAAGCAATCTAGTGTAAAAACAGGAAAGTAAACCATTTAAGGGACTGTACGCGTAATTTTAAGTGATAAATCAAGGATTTTGTAGATATTCTTATTTATATCGCGAGAAATTAAGTGCCAAGAAACGGTGTACTCAATTTTCAGCAATATAAATGACTGAGGGTATCTGACGAAGGGTTAAGGAGTACCGTTGTGAATCAGACATACCTCTCTAAAATGAAAGTCAATTGAAAAGACGTTTACAGTCCTTTTAATCAATCAAGCAATCTAATGTAAAATCAAAAAAGTAAACAATTTTGTTATCAAAACTCATCAATCATCAATCAATCAATCATATCGTATCTAGGAGCAGCAATGTTAAGTTTTAAAAAATAATAGTTAAAGTAAAAAGTAACTTGGACTAACACACAGCCCAATCAACATTGCTATGTTCGGCAGCTCCTGGCTTATCATGGTTCACAGCTGGCTCATCAAAATCCCAATTTAAAATTTCCATTTCTCTCCGTAAAACCATCAAAATAAGGAATCATAAGGAAATGAAATCTGAAAAAGATGCACCGCTATGGACCCCCCAGACCGCCACCAGGCGCAGGAAGCACCGTCCCGCCCCTGCTCTAACTGGACCTTTACACCACCAACAAGTACTCCATTGTTAAGGGATAAACACGTTGTTTCACAATCTCAATTAAGTTTCCTAAAATAAACGTAGCAATCAAATACCTGTCCATATCGTATCTAGGAGCAGCAATGTGCATCATCTCTACTGCACAACAAGCCAGACCAAAGGTCAAGGGCCAAAGGGAACCTTTTCGGCCCCAGTTTACAAGATCGTCCATCCTAATAATATATTAAGATTAATTCTTTTTAACTGTTTAAATTATTTTAAATGTCGTCGTTCATAGATATTTTTAATAATTTTTAATCCACCTTGGGTGCATTGTGTTCATTGTAGCTGTTTTGTAAACATATTTTTTGGTTTCTTGGACAGTTCTGTCTTAAATTTATTTGTACTGCTTCATTTCTTCTGCATTTGTTTATTGTTTTAGTTTAACAACATGACTATTTTAATTATTAATATTTTTTGTGTTCTCAATTTTACAGATATTTATTCATCTGAAGATGTTGTTGTTTACAACGAAATATATTATGGCGAAAATGTCAGTTGTTTAAAACCTAGAGTGATAAATTGGGTTGGAGAGAATATGAAATCATTGATTAATATTTAAATATAACAATACGAATTCTAAGACTTTTAGTTTTAAATACCCCCCTTAAAAAAAAGCATACATACAACTTATGTTAACAGAAAAAATTTAACTTTTCTATATTTGTATATTATCTCACATTTTGGGTCAATGTCCCCACAAAATAAAATTATGAAATCATTGATAAACACTTGCTGAACACAAAATATTGTTGAAATAAGTTTTTGAATTTAGCAATACTACAAAATGTGTAAATTTTAACTTTCAACCTTCCCTTGCACATGTAGAAATGATGTACTAATTAGGCGTAAAATCAAAATATTGTTAAATTTTTTGTCTCAAGACCGAACTAATGTAGCCCGGCCATTGTCTCACTCCCATGCACTTTTTACCACGACACCTGTACCCATCTTCTAAGTTCTACCATATATACCACCTTACTTCTATACCTGAAAGAAAGCGGCTTACCTTGCCATGGTCCACTCGACCTTGTTAGCCTTGAAGTCCACCTTGAAGGGAGAATATCCATCGTTGGCTGCTCGAGCTGCAATTGAGGAATTCTGTCCCTGAGCTGGGGTAGAAGTAGAGGTAGAACGAAGCTAAAAGTTTACAAATAACAAATTGATAAAAAAATCTTTCATTATGAACTTAGGATACCAAGTCAAATCAGCGGAAAAAATCACTAGTATAACATATATTGAAGGGCCCGGCTGGAGCCAAAAAATGCATCTTTTCAAAACTGAGCCTCACCAACATGGAGTAACGTGATTGTGTAAGTGTACACTACCTGAAGAGCAGGTAGAAACTTTGCTTTCCCTCCCAGTTGTGCCAGATGACCCCCGCGCAGCATTAGCGACAATGCCGCGCTGTTCATTTTTATTCTAAAATAAATAATTTTTGTTAAAATCGGTCAATAAATATAGTAATAAGTATCACAGATAATTTAAGTCAGTCACTGGGTTCAAATAATATTAAAATAATAGTTCGTCAAAAATGAGATCAAGTTTTGTCGTTATTCTTCTAGTAGGTGGAGAAGGACTATGTTCTATACCAGGCCTGGACCGTGTTCATTCTCTTAATCTTCTTCTGTAGCTGGAGGAACCCGTAGAGCAGAGCCTCAGCACTTGGAGGACAGCCGGGTACATAGATATCAACTGGGACTATCCTGTAACACGATTTGATTGTAAGGCTTGAATTTTTATCGAAAATTGTGAATTTAATAAGATTTTTAAATCATACCTTGTTCTGTAGCTTAATAATGAAATTGCCGACATCGTTAAAATAAATGTAGATAATTTTATTTAATTTTAAGTTTGTTTCAGGAATTTTCATAAAATAATTTTTTCTACAGCTTAAACAATCAAACTTGCCTTGCATTTAATTTGGAATCCCAGAAAATCAAAAACATTTGCGATTGATAAACTTAAAATAAAATTACCAATATTTATCAATATCATAAAAAATGAATAAACAATCTATTTCTTACATAGAAGATAATAGGGCACTCTTTTAAAAAAAATATTTTTACGCTTACAATTAAGTTTGGAATGTATTTTTTATTCAATAAAAGTGATTTATACGCAGAATTTATAAGTTTTTATTAACGGTAAAAATGGGGTTTCAGGAAAAAAAATCAAGAAAGGCAAAAGGCTTTAAAAATGAAGAGACCTTTAAATTTTTTCCCATGAAAAAAATAGTTTAAAGAGGTATTTCTTTGAAAAATTATAACCCCTGAATTTTACCTGTCGCAACCCCTAACTACAGAATAAGAGTAATGATAGTATCCACCACCGTTGGCACAGCTACCCATTGATACAACCCATCTAGGCTCTAACATCTGATCAACAAATAAGAACATTATCAGACATTGGTTTTGAAAACAAAAACCGAGAAATTAAACCTTCTCTAGACCTATGTTTTCTCTGTCATTGAAGGAATTGTAAGCGGAGTGAAGTGAACCTCCATGCAAAACAATGCCCGATTTACAACGGTACCCTTAAAACCTTTTTCTGATCAAAAATATCGAAAATATTCGTCGTTTTTCTTGTTTCGAAAGTGGTTATTTTTTTAAGTTCTCCATTGCTTAATATATGTAAGAAATGCGCACGTCACTTTCAAAGGGAAACCACATTTCAAAATAAATAATTTAAGAAACAAAAACTTGGATAATTAATTCATATTTGATCAGAAAAGGCTTTAAGGGTACCCCGTTGTAAATCGTCGTAAAAATGTCGTCTTTTGTGCGTAACCCTTTACCTTAAATACGAACAGGTTTGTGAAATTTTGTAAATTGTGTAAATTTTGAAGAATATTCATTAAGCCCCTTCATAATCTTCGTAAACTCAGGAAAATGAAAAAAGAAAATGAACTAACTAAAATTTTTACTTTGGATACAAGTATTTAAATTCCCTTCATACCACTTTCCCTGTTATTGACAAAAAAACATAATTATTTCCCTAATAAAATAATTTGTTAAGTTGGGAGGGGGGGGGGGGGGATTGTAATGACGAGAAAGTATAATCCCTTAAGGAGAAATTTGGATACATAAAAAATATTTATTTTCCCTACACTTTCTCCCGAATTCCATAATAAACTAACTCTATTCCCAATAAAAAGATTTTTTAAGTGGGTAGGGAAGGAAAACTATGTCAAGAGAGTACATTCTTCTTAAAGGGACTGTAAGGGTAATCTCAAGTAACCTTCCATTTGTAGAGATGCATAACAGATTTACAACGATACCCTTGAAACCTTTTGTAGATATTCTTATTTATATTGCGGGAAATTTAGTGCCAAGAAACGGCGCAAGTGTACACTAGCACGGAGAGTACAGTGTACACTGTAACCTCGAGTCTCCTGACACTCAATCTTCAGCAATACAAATGAGGGTATCTACTATTTACCACATCGATGTCTGGACAAAAGCTAGAAGGGTACCGTTGCGAATCGGACATGCCTACCTAAAAGTGGAAGGTCATTTGAAATTACGTCCTTTTAAGTAAGGAGGGGGGAAAGTATGTCAGGTACATTCTCCTTAGGAGGAGTAAACAAAAAGTTACCTGATCGTAGATCTTTCTAAACGGAGGAGCCATCTTGTTTGTCAGAGTTCCAGCAACAATAATTACATCCGCTTGGCGGGGAGAAGCACGGAATACAATCCCGAATCTAAAATACAGTGAGATCCATAAAACTGTGGAATAGGAGGACGACATTTGTGTAATTGATGTTAAAATAAAGCAAATAGTTTACCACAAGCTTGAAAATCAATTCATTAAGAGAAATGGGTCTGTGTGCACTGCACCATTGATGTGAAATGAGTATCATGCTAATTGGAAATTCGTGTTAGAGTAAGCTATTAATTAGATAAATGGATGAATCGCTATTTTTCAATATATATAGTGAACCGCTTTTTCAAATCTCCCGGTGAATCGCTAATTTTACTAATTTCTTTAATAGGTGAATCGCTGTTTTTATTTTAAATAATTGCTTACTCAAGTTAATCGTGAATCGCTAATATATCGTAAAACTTACTTATTTGATTACTAGGTGAACCGCTTTTTTTCGTAAACTTATAAATAATCGCTTAGTTAGCTTAAATCGGTGAATCGCTAACGTAACTTACAAAAAATGTTCATTGGAATATTCAATATCGAAACTGAATTCAAACTGTCCTCTTTCTATTCAACAGTCGGGTCTCCGTTTATTAAATCAAGATAAATATCTTCATATTAGAATTACCCGATCTAATTTGCTTAATATTAGTCGCATTCACTGTAAGTCTATATCAAACACTAGACTGCGCCTACTTTTTTTTCGTGGATTTTCAAAATTTTACGAAAATGTAAACTTTTGGAGCCAACTTTTTGTAATTTTTAGTATCTAGGTAGATCGAAACTACGAATGAATTTTCTCAAATAAAAGTGTAATAAAAAATTTATCAAACAAATAGCATACATTTCAACCATGTTAATACATAAAAACTAAAGGCATAAATTTTGTCAGTTAAAATTTTCCACGCAAAAAAATAGCTGAATTCTGTAAATTTTTTCACGAAAACTTAATTTTTCCAATAGGCAAATCAGTAGAAAAATTATCTAATATAAATATTCAACAGGGCCGGTCAAATATTTTTCTTTCCCACAAAATTTGTAAATATTTTTTTTTTGCTAAGTTTGTATTGAAAAATATGGTAGAAAATAAATTGCCACGTTCATGTCTGATTCCCCTCCCCCTTATATTTGGAAAATCAGATATTCCCCCTTGTATGAATACCTGAGTAGAGTTCAGAGAAGTTTTCATAAATCCAGAACAGAAACTTAGAACATGTCGGCTCCGTGGCAGGGACAAAATCATATTCGCAATCTGAAAAGTACGCGAGTATAAAAATTCAAAAATATTCATTTTTGTTCTTATCAAATATCACCGGCATATGAGATCACACTGTTAATTAATTTCATGGAGTAGATAGACAAAGAGATATTTCATAGGGTAGATAGACATAGAGATTTCAAATAGTAGATAGACATATATATTTCATAGTGTAGATAGACATAGAGATTTAATAGAGTAAACAGACAGAGTCATTTCATTAAGTAGATAAACTAGAGATAGTAGATTAAAATGGGAAGGAAACAGAGTCGGCACACCATTTCATAGGGTAGATAAATATGGAGAGGGGACAGATCCGGCTCACAATTTCATAGGGTAGATGAACATGGAGAGGGGACAGAGCCGGTTTACAATTTCATAAGGTAGATAAATAGGGAAACTAGAGAGAGATGGAGGCGATCTGAAATATCATGGAGTCGTGGAAGTGTCGAAGAATACTAGAACCGAGATGAAGGGGTGTTGACACTATACTGTGACGTAATAGGATAGCATAGGAACTATTTTAAAAAAAGATTGGAAACAATGGCAAGAAAGTACAGTGATGCTTAATCTTTGTCCAAGTTATTTGATATTAAAAAAATTAATTTCATGGAGTAGACATACAAAGAGATATTTCATAGAGTAGATAGACATAGAGATAATAAAAATAGAATTCATTGAGTAGATAAACATAGAGATTTTATAGAGTAGATAGACAGAGATTTCAAATAGTAGATAGACATTCATATTTCATAGAGTAGATAGACATAGAGAGATTTAATAAAGCAGATAAACTAGAGAGATTTCATAAAGTAGATAAACATAGAGAGAGATTTCATAGATAGATACACAGTCATATAGTAGATAAACATAGAGAGATTTAATAGATCGATATGCTGCAGTCATATAGTAGACAAAACAATAAACATAAGAGAGATTTAATAGAGTAAACAGGCATAAAGCGATTTCATTAGGTAGATAAACTAGAGATAGTAGATTAAAATGGGAAGGAAAGAGCCGGCAATAGGGTAGATAAATATTGAGAGGGGACAGAGCCGGCTCACAATTTCATAAGGTAGATAAATAGGGAAACTGGAGAGAGATGGAGGCGATCTGAAATATCATGGAGTCGTGTAAGTGTCGAAGAATACTAAAACTCTATGAAAAATCTTTCCCTTAAACACCTTTCAGACTAAAAGAGACTGTCAAAGAGCATGTGGCAAATGCCCATGTTTTCTATCTAAAACATTATATTTTTCATTTGTGGTTTCTACAACCTGAAAAAAATAGAGGGAATTGTTAGGATAGCTAGATAAACTACATTATTGATGAGATAAAGAATATTGGGTACCCTACCGTTGTTAATCGGCAATGTCAGTTTTAAAAAGGAGGACCACTTAGTTGTTCTCATCCAATCAATCAATCAATCAATCACTCAAAGTTTCAGGGACATGCTACTACTTACTTTTAATTGAAAATCAAACAATTTCTCCCTAAATTGAAATGAAAACTGAATATATATATTTCCCTTGCTTGCTTCTAGTACAAGGTATTTGTTGTGAACTACATCAGGTTGGAATACAGCTATTTGCAGGAGCTTGTCATAGTAGTGGTCCATCATACTCGCACTTTTACCTAATTTTGTTAGTTAATTTTTTTGAAATTATGGCAAATACATAGTTTAAACTTTAAATTGATCGACTGTATCGATTTACAACGACACCATTTAAACCTTTGCTTAATCAAGGATTTTGTAGATATTCTTATTTATATCGCAGGAAACTAAGTGCCAAGAAACGGTGCAAGTGTACAATAGCACGGAGACTTCCGGCACTCAATCTTCAGCAAAACAAATGAGGATAAAGCAGGGAATAAGAATAAAGGGAAGGAAAATGGAGCTGGTCTGGCATGAAAAAGCCAGGCACACTGCTTTATAGACGAGTTAGTTATCACACATGCACAGTCTTTTGGTACAGACACACAACATGACTACAGTCAAGGAAATTGCAGAACAGTGTCGTCAATTATAATTAAGCTTGATTAACAAGTAGTTTATTGTAAACTTTAATAAAATTATATTCTTTGCATAAAAATTTGGCTTCTAGTATTGACTTAAATATATAAATAATATATTACATGTATATTAAACTTATTCTTAAGTAAACAGTTATCAATAAACAAATGTACTCTCTTAAGACTGTGAGAATACCGAGATTCTTATGTACTGTATATACCTACAGTACACGCCTTCGATATTTCTTACACACACTCTTTTGGTACAGACACACAGACATGACGTTTCCGCCCCCTGTGGTAAAGGTTTAAAGGGTACCGTTGAGAATCGGTCATGCCTATCTATAATTGGAAGGTCACTTGAAACCACAATTACAGTCCCTTTAAATAGTGTCGTTTTGTAAATTAGAAATGCTCTTTTTGTACCCGTCTTGGATTTATCTAGGACTAAAGGATAATTTTTTTTTTTCTAGGATTTTTTTTTTGACCTTGCTAACACCATTATGATTTCTACTAAGGATTAGACCTTCTTGATATCTAGCGCTCAAGAATTCTACCTTCTTGATTTCTAGCAACCATTTAGAAAACTAGTGATAAGGATCCATTTCATTTTGTGGCGAATGTGGATCTGGACCAAAAAGTAAACTTTTCTTTACGATTTACTGATTTTTTAACACAAGAAGAATTTTAAAATTATTTTTTTTTTTCGCTTTTTTTCAGGCTAAAACTTGATGAACCATTCAGAGATGAGGAAAATGTTGTCCCTTGGATTGTTTTGCAATCCGGATTCAAGTATCTAAAATGTTGCGGATCCTAAGCACTGTTTACAAGTACACGAGCCTCACATTGCTTACCTCCGCTCTGGTATTTATTCCATCTTTCTTCTGTCACATGCGTCCAAACCTCCTCCGCGGTCTTAGGTCTAAACAGTTAAGTGTTTGGTCCAGGGGTGTTTGGTCTAGGAATAACACCGACATCAGGAGAAACTTTTTTAGCAATCGAGTAGTCTCTACCTGGAATTGCCTACTGAACTAAAGAAATCTAGAACATTGAATATATTCAAAACCGGACTCGAGAAAATAAATATATAATCTATTATGTGCCCGGGACAGAGAGCTAAACTTAAAGCACAGAAGCCAAGTTTGATTGATCTCTGTACAGCGAGGACAAGAAAAGAAGTCTGCGTTTATGGACCACCCGGTCTTCTGCAGTCAACAAAACATGTAACAAACAAGGGAAAGAAAATGAAAATTGGACATCAACATTAAAAAAAAAAGTTTTTAACTCATCCTTAAGAAACTTTACCCAAAATTTCAGTTATTTTCCATAAAAAAGCATTTCCCTACCAAACTCAGCGAAAACCCCTAAAAAACATACCTAACCTCGACAAGAAAAAAAAATAATTTTCAAAAAATATAAACCACAGTTCTCTGCAACTGTAAACTTTTTTCATTCTTAGTCAAATCATTAAATAAGCCATTAAAAGACTAAATTCAAGGCACACGAATTTAATTGAAATAATTACGTCACAATGTTCGTTTAAAAGTTTTTATCTAATGAGTGTTCTATGATGTTACCTAGGGGTGAGGGGTGTATGAAGAGGAGCCCCTTCCTCCTGGTTGTACTGTAAACATCTTACAGCTCCTGATTTTTTTTATTTTTAAAATTTTTGAAACTTTTATAACTTCTATACTTTTTATAATTTAAATATTTTTAATAATTCAGAAAAAAAATTAAATCTTTTCTTTTCGTCCACGACATCTTCAAATCCTATCATATTTAATAAACAAGGATTTATATCTAATAGATTTTATCTTTAAGGACTCGAGCCCCTTCCGAAGATTGGGGGTAAAGGAGGAGAGGGTTGGGGTAACAATTGGACATCAGCTGACAATATTTTTCCTAAGAGAGTTACCCCCCCCCCCCTTGGGCCGGGGGCAAGATGATTTTCTATGCATTGGGAAGGAAAAACGCCTTAAGCAAGTTGATACAGTGCTAATCAGATATGCCCGGAATTAATTTACAATTAATCAGATGACATTACAATCTAGTTTTACAAATATGATTGATAAAAGGATAATCACAAAATAGCCCAAGTCCTGTCATTTCAAAAATGTGGTCTGCATTCGTTGAGCATTTAAAATTGTCAGAGATATATGTGAAATTGCTTGATTAACTGTCAATTATTTCCGGGTCATTCTGTTTATGACAGTACTTTTTACCAAAATTTGATTTATTTCCACAATTCAGCGAATATAACGCCAAACAAATCTGCCGCTCAGCATCCCGCAAGCATGTCTAACATCTAGAGGAAAAATGATATTCAAAAAGAAGGGGGGGGGATTTTAAGAAAATATTCCCCTGCACGAAATTTAATGACACTAACAAAGGTACCTATAACTCCTATAGCTTCTAATCTGTCACAGAACCTGGGCCAGAGAAGGGTTGGATCCTACAACCGAATTTAATGAATTGAAGAGAGGTTGCTGAACTCAGAAGTACCTACTGCCGGTTCAAATCCTTTATAACTGATTCAAAATTTAAGATCCATGAGGATTTGAATCAGTGATTCAGAATTTGAACCGGTTTCCAGTTCAATAAGTTCCGTGCCTGTAAAGCAGATTCAGGAACAGTATTTCCGTTTACAGATGCGGACACATAACTTATCATCTGGAGAACTTGAGATACAAGGGTTTCAACACCGGTGGCATCAGACAAAACCTTAAAGAGAGAGAGTTCTGATATTTTGAAGTTGGCAGGGGTAGATTTTTTCACCTTCGCCCTAATGAGCTCTATTAAGGCGTTGGGGGAACAAATTCAGAAAAAATGTGAATGGAAAAGGGAAGGAATTTGGTACTTGACTGCTCTAGGGCATTAAAATACTTGATCTTACAACCAAAATCAGTAATTTGCGCAGCTGCGTCACCATGTAAAAAAAAATAGTTTTTTATTTACGACTTGAAAATAAAAATTATTCAAAAAGAGGGAAAGGGGGCAGAAAGATGAATCAAGAAACTCTAAAATACACCCCTTTTCAGCAAGGATTTTAATTTCATTTCCTGTTCCAGGGCTTAAATTTTATAAAAAGCACAAGTAATTGAACTACTTCTCTTGTGCACCAGTTCAAGCTCAAAAGAATTGGATTAACTTATTCTACGTATTTCAACCACGTAGAGCTATTCATTATATTTGCCCAGGTTTAAAAAAAATATATTCTAAAAAACAATGTATGTAAACTCATTACTCAATTAAGCTGTAACACGTACTTTTTAGTGAACCGAATAAAATAGCTGACTAACTAACTTATTAAAGGGACCGTTCACTTATTTGGGTAATTTCAGGGTAAACTAAACAGCCTATTCGCTGTTGATTAGTAATAGTCTTACTTTTCAAAAACAACTGTGGCCGGAGAAAAAGTTGATTTTTCGTTCAGAATTCGAGCGCAAAGGGACGGTCCCTTTCTATAGACTCTAATTGATGTTTTTTTCAGCATGTTGTGAATCAAAATAAATTTCGAATATAAAATTAAACTGTAGTATCTAATTCCCCCCCTCAAGCCTTAAACAATACAAATTAGTAAAATTCTTATGATGAAAGAAGAAAGTTCTTAAGAACAGATTATTTGTATAGATCCTTAGAAAACCCAAATAGACAAAATCAAACAAATAAGTGATATTTCAAGTGACTCTCCGTTAATAGATGGCAATCCGAATTTACAACGGTACCCTTAAAAATTAAATTTCCATGTTATAAATGTTTACTTAATAGTTTCATTCGCAGGTTCCTTGGGAAAGTAACTTGCGCATTTCTTGTTTATAAAAAGAAAGAAATAAGTTAAAAACGAAGGTATCTTCCATATTTTTTATCAGTTTAAGGTTTCAATGAAAATCGGGCATTGTCATTTAAAATAACGCTTACAGTCCCTTTCAATTTTTATTGGGATCTTAACTCTTCACACCCACACCCGACTACTATGCTACAATACCTCATGCAAAAGTGCTGCCAAACATAAACTCAGTTTCTTAGTTTCTGAAAGAGGCGTTGTTGTAGAGTTAGACTCTAACCCCGACTTTACAGAAAAGACTAATTTAAATTCCATTTTAGTTTTGGCTTTTTGAAACACAAGCAAGTTTTCAAATAAATTTGCATTTAATCATACAAAATAAATTTACGATTGCTTGTAGAGGTAGACTATTAAATGCCAAAGTTGTTTTTTTATGTACCCTTCACAAAACAGAAAAGACATTATTTTGGTTTAGACATTGTCATGTCTAAACCAAAATAATAATTCACTATATATAAAAAGACTAATTTAATTCAAGTTTTTAATAACACATATAGAACCAACTAAATAATTTGTAGAACCCTTTTATTGTAGATTTCAATTCACTTGCCGATACAAATTTATATGAAAGTTGTAAAAAACGAGAAAAGTTGTCTATAGTTTTAGACATAATAATATTCAGGTCTACCAAGGAAAGGATTATCAAAAAGTTTTCGGAGATAAAGTAACAATTAAAAAAAAAAATTAAGTTTTATTCCTTCCTGAATTGCTGACTCCAGATGCTTTAGAACAGTAAGACAGTGGTCAACTCCGTGAGATTCCGGCATTTTAGCATCCTAAGTGAAAACAAATATTGACATTTTGGTAATTCTATTATTTTATCATTTTAACTGGAAGGAAAAAGCTAACAAATTGATTTGTACATTAAAAACACACTTTTCAGGAGTCAATATTCTTGACTCATGTTCTAGACGCAAAGTAGATTAAACAAGAACGTATTGGTAAATTCCTGGAGACGATTTTTTAAATCTATGCCAGTAAGTCTCGGGAAGAGAACGATTTTTGGACCCCCCCCCCCTCCTATCAATTTTGTACATGACCACTTAGTATTTATTTAGGGTTAGGTTAGGTTAAGACACTTTCTGGGCCGAGCGCTGCGGCTAGGACAGGCTAGGTGGCCGAGCGCTGCGGACACGGGTTAGGTTAGGTTAAGACACTTTCTGTAAGATCCATGTGCAAAATTGATAGGAGGGGAGGGAGCCCGGGGGGGGGGTCCAAAAATTGTTCACTAGGACGGACCCTAGGGCTAATTTCATATTCTTAAATAAAAGCAAAAGGAAACGCTATCTACACTTGTGATAAATGTGTACATAGGTAACAAATATATACTTGGTTTTTTTTTTTGAAAAAAAAAACATTTTCTTGGATTGAACCGACGTATTTATGTTTGAAAATCAAAATAATCAACAAACCTCGAACAAAGTAGTTAGCTCAGTAAGAGCTCTGTTCATTAACTTCCGACTTTCTGGGAGTAAAACATCCACCTCCGCTGCTGTAGGTGTTCTTGTGTCCAACATTTTAATCACAAAATTCTTTCTAAGATTATAAAACTTTTATGAAAAGTCCCAAAAATATATTTCAGCACATGATAGTTTGACAAATCAACAATACAGAATTAATTTCAGCGTAGTTAAAAAAGACCTGATTTTACCTAATCATGAAGGTGCTTAAAAATTTCATTTCGTAAGGCGGACATTACCAAAACTCCGAATAAGGCCACCACAAGCCAGCTGGATTATAGGAATGTGTTGCGGCATTTTAAAAGTACAAGGACTGAACAGGGCTTACTTTTTTCAAAATTAAATTTAAGAAATTTTTAGAAAAATTATTTGAAAATAATAAAAGGACTAAATTTTTTTTTTAATAATTTAGGTATACTTCTAAAAAGTCGTCTTTACATATTGCTATGCCCAGGACGGTAATGTTGCATCGTCTATACGCAAAATCCTCTATACTGAACTTCCGACCTACTAACTTTCTGACCTATTGCTATATCCGACCTACGACAGCTGTAGGTCGGTTACACATTGATTATCTCTCCCTGAAAAGGAATTCCGACGGAGCTCCTCTTTTGGAGAATTCTCCACAAACGGAGGGAATGAGGAGGATTCTCCACAAGAGGAGGAAATGAGGAGGATTCTCCATTTTCGGAGGATAAAGGGAGTCCTCCTCTTGAGGAGGAGAAGAGGAGAGCGGAGTAGGTTTTCTTGCTGGGAAGTGTAAATCCGACCTACAATTGATGACCATCCGACCTACAAATGCATATGTATCCGACCTACTTAAGTGTAAATCCGACCTACAATCGATGACTATCCGACCTACAAATAATTGTACATCCGACCTACAGTAGGTCGGATCAAACAAAAGTTTTTTGAATTAAGGTGCAACTGACCTATAGTTTAACAGACCTACAACAGCTAAAAAGCAGCTGGAAAACCACGTGCAAGTAGGTCAGAAGTGTAATATAGAGGATATGCGTAGGTCGAAAAATACACCACCCGTGAGGACTAGTGGTCGGATATGAACTCGTACATATAATTGCACAATTCTTCTTAAACTGAGATTAGAGAGGAGAGCCACTTTATTCACTTGATCCATCCATTTTAAGACAAATTTTACTTTTAGAATGTTTATAGATAAAAAGATTATTTAACACCGCAAAAATTGTCAAAAGATGAAAAATATAAAATGTAAAATGCATACTATGCGTTGAAATATGTACAGCTTAAAACAGTAAAATCTATATATAAATTTGTTTGTTTGTTTGTTTGTTTATCTGTCTGTCTGTCTGTTTGTATATCCAATAAACGTCAAAACGGCTGAACCGATCGGGCCCAAATTTTTTGTGGGACATCTAGGGACCCTAGGGAAGGGTTATGAAAAATCAAAATTTCAAATATTTGTCTCCATCAAAATAAGATCGTCATTAAATTTTTAAAAATTTTGAAAATCCGCGAAATTTTTTGTGAAAATCCGCGAATTATTTTTGTTTTGTTTACGATGTACACAAAGAGAACATGTTCATAACTAATTTAGAAGATGGGCGCGAAGCGCCCTCTAAGGCTAGTATGTTAAAAGGCACTAATTGCATTCTAATGCATGGTTCTTTCCCTATAATATATTAAACAAATCGCGATTTGACAACTAAGTGGCCCAAAATCCAAATTATAACTATTAAAGAATTGATAAAAATTTTACTTTGGTGTTAAAAATGTTAGTGAGAGATGCACGTAATTTGTCAAAATAAACATTTTCACAAAAATATGTCATCTGGACTATAGTTCAATCAACCATTAGTTCTATTGATACAACACTTTTAAAATGCCGCAAATTTATTTAATATTTTCCTTCTGTGTTCAGTTCCATTAATTTTTCAGAATAGTTAAATGGAAGCTGGATTTGTATGTCAAGCTCAAGAATATGTGATTGGAGAGGGGGGGGGGGGGCACCAAGGAACGTGTCCCCATTATAAATCTGTAGAGGGGCCCGGGGCACAATGTCTAAGGCAATTTATGTATAAATATAATACATAGTAAAGGAGGAGGGTTTGTCCTAGTGAACGATTTTTGGACCCCCCCCTCCTATCAATTTTGTATATGACCATTTATTTTTCAGCAAATTTAATATTATTTATTTTTTTGTTATTTAGGGTTAGGTTAGTTCCAAAAATCGTTCTCTAGGAATATACCAAGAAGATGTAGTGGTTTGGCATAAAACAAGTGATATACAGTAATTTGAACCTATCCTCCACCCTGCAGAAGATTGAACTTTTTAATATTTGATATGTAAGATTTGTTACTTCCTAGTAGTACACGATTTGTGCCCCACCCCCTTCCGATCATTTTTGTACATGCATGATATGTAACACATGTATGTACATGATTGGTATTGTGGCTGTAGCGCCTGGCCCTGGAGCCGCGGTGCTCGGCCTCTTGCCTTTTCTAGCCGCTGCGCTCGCGGCTCTGCGCCACCTAGCCGTAGCGCTCGGCTCAAAAATTGTCCGTCTTAACCCAACCTAACTTAAAATAATGAAATATTCTTAATAATAAAAACAATTTTGCTAGCTTAAAAATAGTTGGTTTAGTGGTGCCGGGGGAGGGGTAGGGGCTCCAAAAATCGTTTATTAGGACAGACCTTAAGGCTTCCATGCTAAATGACTAGATTCTATCTGCAGCCATTTTAAATTTTTGTGCTAAATTTTTGAGCAAAAATTATTTTCTTCTTTTCGTGCCAGTAAATGTGTTGATTCAGTAATACATTTATAATTTAGACATTTAATCATTTTTATGTTCCAGATAATGACGTCGACGATATCCGTTGGCGGTGGAAAAATATTTATATCGAGTGATGAAAAAGTCAGCTGTGTCCAAGATTTAGACTTTAACAGTGTCACTTTTTTTAAACCTAGTGAGAGGACCGACAATGAACAAAATGGCACAGCTTCACCTAAGAAAAGTGGCAAGGCGTTAAATGTTAAAAATGGTAGTGCTGGCATTGGAGTGGTTTGTATGGGAGTGAGTAGTTGTGGGAATTATCTGGGAGTTTGTGGGGAGAATAAGATGCTAACTGTATTTCACAATAACGAAATAGGTGATAAGATAAAAAAAAAATAAAAAAATATTTTTGTTATAAATCAATACTGAAATATATACCTACTGTGGTTCTCAATCTCATTAAATAAGATTAAAAACCATTCATGATCGTTTATGTCTGTTGCAAGTTTTTTTTCACGTTACGAAAATAAATATATTTTTGGCCATGGCTTATTTTTTTTTTACTTTATAAAAACATTTTATAATTTTCCCATTTTAAATTGACCCTGCATATAGAACAGCATATACAATTCACAAAAGTAGTCTTTAAAAATATTAAAGCTAGAGATTTTTTATTTTTCACGAAGATTAAAGTTTAAATTTTGCCTTTGCGTAAGCAGCTCTGTAATAGATTACTTTGAATTTCGCGTACAGTCCCTTAACTTTTCTTATTTCATGTGTACAGTCCCTTTAACCTTTCTTATTTCAGGTGTACAGTCCCTTAACCTTTCTTATTTCAGGTGTACAGTCTCTTTAACCTTTCTTATTTCAGGTGTACAGTCCCTTAAACCTTTCTTATTTCAGGTGTACTGTCCCTTAAACCTTTCTTATTTCAGGTGTACAGTCCCTTAAACCTTTCTTATTTCAGGTGTACAGTCTCTTTACCCTTTCTTATTTCAGGTGTATAGTCCCTTTAACCTTTCTTATTTCAGTGAGGTCAGTGGAACTGAACCGGAAAGCGAGTAAGATTGTATTCACTAAAGATCAGGCAGACTTTCAAACCATTTTTTAAAGGGACTGAAAAAAAAATGATTTTACTAAGTTTCTCATAACGTTGAAGAGTAACATCAAAGAATCACAATCTTGCTGTTACTGTTTCCACGTTTAAGGAAGTACACAAAGAAAAGCTTGAAATTGATAATCACATAAAAAGAAATTAAATTCAATATGGCGCTCAGTTCATGATATGGTTTGGAGTTGGCTCTAGGATTGGGTTGTGCTTGCAGACAAGAACGGAGATGTTTACAAGCTGAACTTGAAGGAGAACCAAACTAAACCGGTTTTAGGTACAGTTCAGTTTAGTATGGTGCTGTACGGTACAGTACGGTACAGTTCAGTACAGAATAGTACAGTACAGTACAGTACAGTAAAGTACAGTACAGTACAGTACAGTACAGTACAGTACAGTACAGTACAGTACAGTACAGTACAGTACAGTACAGTACTCACTACCAATTATTAGTGGGGAGGGAAATAGTTTCGAAGCTATTCGGGAACTTAAACTCTTACATATACAGTTTTACTAGTCCTTGAAGTTGAAATTCAGCAACAACCAGGCAAAAAGAATAATGGCCAGGACAATTTAAATTAAAAATGGTCATATTTTTGTTAATGTTATTCAATGAATTATTCAATGCATGATATGATATGTATTGTGAATAATTTCTTCTGTACATTTAAAGGAGTAATCTGAATATGTCTGTTTGTATGTTAAATCATAACTCAGGAACCCCTTGACCGATTTGCCTTAAAATTTAGGAAACTATTTAAAACCAAGGGAATGTTTTTAGTTCTTTTAGCTTTTTCATTTATTCTAATTTGAGGGGGTTGAAGTTTAAATTTCCAGGCAGTGCCGGGTTCTAAAACTAATAATTATATATTTTAGTGCTTGGGCATTTATCTATGCTTCTCGATGTACTACTCACACCATCTAACAGGAACTAACTCAATTTTAATCATATAATCAATCCTCTTTCAACTTAATTCTAGTCTTATAATCAATCATCATTCAACTCAATTCTAGTCTTATAATCAATCCTCCTTCAGCTCAATTCTAGTTAATAATCAATCCTTCTTCAACTCAATTCTAATCTTATAACCAACCCTCCTTCAACTCAATTCTAGTCTTATAATCAATCCTCCTTCAACTCAATTCTAGCCTTATAATCAATCCTCCTTCAGCTCAATTCTAGTTAATAATCAATCCTCCTTCAACTCAATCCTAATCTTATAATCAATCCTCCTTCAACTCAATTCTATTCTGATAATCAATCCTCCTTCAACTCAATTCTAGTCTTATAATCAATCCTCCTTCAACTCAATCCTAATCTTATAATCAATCCTCCTTCAACTCAATTCTATTCTGATAATCAATCCTCCTTCAACTCAATTCTAGTCTTATAATCAATCCTCCTTCAACTCAATTCTAGTCAATAATCAATCCTCCTTCAACTCGATTCTAGACTTAAAATTAATCCTCCTTCAACGTAATACAGTTAATACTGTGAAAATGGAAAATTCGTATTTAATTGAAACCATGAATATGGATTTATATGATATGTCTCAACATAGTCAATCCTCCCACCTTTCTCTTCTATCCACGAACAAAATGTTAGGAAATATACACGTTTTTTCTTGTATTAATTAATTAATTAAAGTGAATCGCTGGGGGTGTTCTGGCCCCCGGTCGACTTTACCCATCAGTACTCCCCCCCCCCATACGCTTTTGATACACGCCTGGCCTGGGGGTGTCTGCTAAATCCGCCCAGGTTTTGTTCTATTAATTATTCTTGGATACAGGCGAACCCGGGTGAAGGGTGTCCGGGAACCTGAGTTGACCGTAACCCCAGGTTAACATCCTCAACTCACCTGCCCCCCTTCCCTATTTTGAACAAGGGTTTTTCGGTTTCAAAGGAAACGTATAATCTTTGGGTCTACATCTATGAAGGCAAAATATGATTAAGAAAGCAATATTAACAAATTAAATGAATTTTCGGTCAAAATTAAATTTGTCATCAGTCAGTTTCTTCCTTAACGATTTGAGTTTGTAATAGGTTTATAATCACAGCTGATAGAGATGAAAAAATCAGGTGAAGCTATTTCTTTAAAGGGTTGTCTATCTTATTTTAAGTGCCCCCCTCTCTGGGTCCCGGGGGGAGGGAGGTAATATTTAATGATTTGTTTAATATTTGATAAATTTTTTAATGTTTGATAAATTCTTAAATGTATGATAAATTGGTTAATCGATAATGCGCTTCGCTAATATGTAAACCGCTGGACCGAATGGAGTGACATTTTTTTATGGTACCAATTGGTGTCATGGGAGCAAAAAAAATCCTTTTTTATTCCAACTTCGATTTTTTCTTAATTTAATTTTTCACTGGCAATGGAGATAATTTATTATTATTATTATTATTATTTTCAAAAAATGCAAAAACAATAACAACACTCAAAAATATTATCATAGAGGATTTGGTAAAAAGTAAAAAAAAATAGTTACGTTTTCTTTACTTAACTCCATCAAAGATTCATTTATCATTTACTTTACTCTTCCTCCCTCAGCTAGTTATCCAATATCCATGAAGGATTTGCCTATTTTTTATAATTTTACTTTTTAGTTTGTTGGGAGATAATGAACTGGTTTCTGGGTCGGGAGATGGTACTGTCAGGTATTAAGTCAAAAAAAAAGAGGGGAAAAAATAAATCATAACAAACTAATTAATAAAATTAAATTAATGAATAAAAAAGACAAAAATTAATCAAAACAACCTAGAAAGGTAAAACAGAAAAAAACAATATTCTTGAAAAAACCAGCCTAATAAAGTTATTTAAGGTTGTTTGTTGTTTTATGAAAAAGTATTTAACGTATCCCTGTATACATTTACGCATTAACCTTAACATAAACATTATGTTGATCTTTGTGTTACATTTTAAGAATAATTATTTAAGATTTGGGGGTAAAAAAATTTGGACACCAAAAGGCAAGTTTTCTACTCATTTTGCCAATTTTGTTGATTTTTCCGTAAAAATCCTTTATTTTCCCAAATTCCGCAACAACAAAAAAACACTAAAACATTTATTCAATTTTGATGAAATTTATAACACCTAATATTTACCGTTGTAGGGTACTTAAGTTACTTTATCGCCCTACAACAGGGCGAAAAAGTAAATTTTTCAACCTGCTATTAAAATTAAAACTATATGTATGTTATTGAAATGGGTATCATGCGTGTGAAAAAGTTTTTGTCGGGATTTTTATTTTTTCTAGTTTATTTAAGATCAAAATGAAAGTATTTTCACACTGAACGTAGTGAGGTGTGAAAATAATAATACCCATTACAGTGACATAAATAGATATAAAACATACACAACTTCTGGGGAAAACAAATTATTTAAAAGGGGGGGGGGATGATTTTTCAAGTTTACATACAATTATACGGCATACACCCATTTGTTACTTTAAACTTGTATTTACAATTCAAATCTTTTAACCATCGATGAAAATATTTTTGTAAATTCACTTTAAATTCATGTTGGTCCATTCTTGGTAATTGATCAATAATGACATTTTTTCAAGTAATTGATCGATTTCTTTAATATAATTTAGAGTTTGGAAATTCTTAGAAGGAGTAGAGCTAGCAGCTAGAGATGTTTATAAGGAAATAATCATAAATAATCGTAAATAAAATGAAATATTAACTATTTTCTATGAGTATTGTTTTAATATCTGAATTATTTGTTTGAAATTAAAATGATTTGTTTACGATCCGAGTTGAATGTTGCATCTTTCTGAATTTGTATGGACACTTTCGTTCTTCGGTATTAGTCGTTTTTCTCCTTAAAGACGCAACATATAGAAGTAATATTAGTAGCAATCATTTTTCGCCGCAAGCCTATACCCCCTTTCATTTTTCGCGAACACTCCCTTTACCGTCTTTTGACCAACATTACTGACCCATAGATCGAACAGTTAAGTTAAATAATCTCCCGCTTGACAAAGTTTTTGTGAATAAAATCGCACAGGGGGGGGGGTTTGATTTAATTTATTTATGGTTTTTAACGAAGGATGTTGAAGTGAAGGTAACCCGTAAACTAGAGAACAAAGCCAACTTAACGAATAATCTTCAGGACATGGAAATAGGTAATATTAGAGGTCGTGAGGACGGACTCTAATAAGACTCAGATATAACTTGTTCCGGGATATATATTTTACGCTGAGGGAAGCTTCAATAATATTGTTTACATATCTCTCGAGATAACTATATCAGCCTTACCGCGTAGCTTCATTTGGAACCCTTCTCCGGAGGCCAGATTATCGTCTTCCACATAATAATAATTTTTTATTTTATTAAAACCAGTTTGGAAATTTCAGTTCGTCATAATGTTTATTTTTACAGATAAATATTTTTTTACTTCAAATAAAAGTTGTTTCTAGAAATGGTATAAAAAAACTAATCTAGAGATACTATAATGGTTTTTATGTGCATTTTTTAGACGTTAAAAGTAATTAATTTGTCCTTAAGTTTTTCCGGAAAAGGCAAATAACCTTTAAAATAAGTTGTATTCAAGTTTTTTCTCAAACGCTTTCGAAATCATAGAAAAATACAATGAACTCCTTGGATATCCATATTCCATATAAAAGCTATTCATAAAGAGATTGTTCATGAAACATTAATGAACCCTTTTAACGACTAAAGTGCTGTAAACTATTAACTATTGACAATGGAACCCTTTAAATATTTTTTAATTGCATTAAAATGTTTTGGGAAAAATTGGATTCTTACAATAAAGACGGTGAAGAAAACGTTTCTTGAGAAATAATGTAACGTTTTTAAGGACGTAAACGTAACGAACCTGCTGATGTTCCTGCTGTAGTTAAAGTCAAAGGGTTGCATCGTTTAAACCTATTCATAGCTCAGGTAATTCTCGTCATACGTTATAAGCTTCGGGAATCAGGGTTGTAGATTTTCTCTAAAATTCATTTTTCTTTCTCCTCCCCCATGTCAGAAATTATTATTTTTCAGAAAATTTACCGATTTTGGGGAAAACGGGATTTTCAAAGAGAAATTAATGAACTTTTGAGTTAAAAGTATCAAAAAAAATTTAAAAGTTGCTTTTTATGTCTAATTTTTCATTTATTTGTCATAATCATCAAAACTAATTCTGAAAAATATACTTAAAACGAGTTGAAGGTTTAACTAAATTGAACCAGAGTCCGAATTTAATTAATTTGAGCCGAGTCTCAAATCCCCTCAAAAACCGGTTTCAATTGAGCTCCGGCTTAAATCTTGAAACATTGAATACGATTTTAAGTGGAACCAACTATATTTGAGCCGCGGCTCGAATTCTTAAAATTCGGTCACAGCTCTCTTCTGAGCCGGGTTTAAGTGACCCTCCATGCAATAAAAGGCAATGCACGATTTAAAATTTTAAAGATTTGTCTGATCAAGTAAGAATTAGAAATCCATGTTTGTTGTAAAATATTTGTTTTTTTTTCCTTTGTGATATCTCTGCCAATTTTATGCTTATAAGAAACAATTGAGAAATTAAACAATTATTTTCCGCATTTTTAATCAAATTAAAGTTTCAAGGGTAGCATCTTTGCATGAAGGATCACATGAAATTACACAAACAGTCCCTTTAAGTGTAAGAAAAGTGGTTTAACGTAGTCCACAGAGTTCAACTTTTTCTTTAGTAATTTTATTTGTATCTTGAGGTTGAGGGATTTAACGGACTCGTCCTCTACTCCTTCATCAACACCCTGGAGAAGGTTCAAACTATCCCCAGCCTCTACAACGTCCTGGACTTCGAGGTGGAAGACTCCAACTCCCTGGTCCTCCTCACTAGGGCCGACCTTGAGAAGAACTCCGTGATACTCAGGAAATATACTTTTTCCACTAAAACAAGTAATTTCGAAAACCCTGTGGATTTTAACCTCTCTCAGGATGTTATTCAGATTAGGTATGTTGAACTCCTAAAAATATAATAGACTTTTAGGGCGCTTCGCGGCCACCTACTATTTGAACTTTTGGCTCTATCTGTGAGCACTGAGCATCTTCTCTATATATAAAAACAACAAAAGTTCGTAGATTTAATAATATTTTTTCGTGGATTTTTTATTTTACAAAAATCCAAAACTTTTGGAGACAACATTTTGTAATTCCTAGCATCCATTAACCTTCCCGGGGATAATGTGTTGTTCCACAAAAAATTTGGGCCCGATCGGTTCAGCCGTTTTGACGTTTTTTGGTTGCAAGCAAACAAACAGACAACCAGACAAGCAAAGTGATTATAGTTATAGATAAAAGATTTAAGAATCAAGATCTATTGTTAACATAATTTTTATTGCAAATAAAATATAGGAGCTTAAATATTTTTTTTTTGAGGGGGGGGGATAGTGTTAAAAGAGGGCAAAAGTTTGAGTCCTTTTATTCAAATTTCCTTAAATCTTTTTAAATTCAGGAGGAAATGTAGCTATTGAAGTTATTTCAACCAATTAAGGGGGGGGGGTGAAGGAAGTTTTAATTCATATGTTTGAAAGCAGTACATAGTGGGCGGTCTGGGGGTTCCATGTCGGGTTCCTTTTCAGATCTTAAAATTATTTCTTATTTCTTACACTCCAAGGTTTATTGTGAATAAAGTCCTGTATTATTATTATTATTATTATCATTATCATTATCATTAATCTATTATCATTAATCCATTATCATTATCATTAATCCATTGTTATCATAATTTCTATAGAATGTTAAATATAGTTGTTTCAGTGGTGAGGAGAAGGACGGTTTGAAAAATTTACATAAACGTTGGTTTGACAACATGAAGGACTATATGGAGAGGAAGCAAAGGAGAATAGAGAAAACTAAAATGTCCGACGGTGAATCACCGTCCAATACTGAGGAGTCATGTATTCTTGAAGAGATACCCAGTAAAAAACAGAGGGTTGAATGTTGATGCATTTTAAAAACTTTTTTTATTTTTATATTTTTCAGATAAGATGGCCGGAGTGGTGAGGCTGCGTACTCTGGTCCAGGGCAAGGCTAATTTTCACACAATGGTAATATTTTACTTTATATAATTTAGGGATAGAAGTTGTTGAATTAGGTTCGAGAAGTTAAACTGCTTATCTAGTGCTAACTAGGTCACACTATAGAAGAAATGCACATTATAATTAGTTTATGTACTGTACATGTTAACTGCAAATTGCAATATGTCATGGCACACATTATTCTGAACGTGTGTTAACTTTTTTATGTTATAGTACACACCATTCTCATCGTCAACTGTCATGGCACACAACAACAATAAAGACGGTGAAGAAAACGTTTCTTGAGAAATAATGTAACGTTTTTAAGGACGTAAACGTAACGAACCTGCTGATGTTCCTGCTGTAGTTTCATGGCACACATTATTCTGAACGTGTGTTAACTTTTTTATGTTATAGTACACACCATTCTCATCGTCAACTGTCATGGCACACAACATTCTCAGCGTTTGTTAACTGCAATATATGTCATGGGAGGCACACATCATTCTAAACGTGTGTTAACTTCAATATGTCAAAGTACACATCATTTTTAGCTTGTGTTAACTGCAATATATCATGGCACACGTTAGTTTTAGCTTGTGTTAACTCCAAAATGGCATGGCACATATCATTCTTAGCGTGTGTTAGCTTCAATATGTTGAGCACGTATAAACTGCAATATGTCATTGCACACGACGTGACGACGTGACATTTATGTGTTTAGAGTGTGGTGCGGGCTGCTGGAAGCCCACCTCCCTGGAATTATCTATGGAAGCCAGGTCCATATCCTGAATCTGAAGATGCCAAGATGAAGGCTGCGAAAAAGTACGGTCTGCTCTATGAGGTAGACCTATGTATTCCAGAACCCGAAATTTAAAAGAGTATCGTTGAACGAAACTCTCGAGTTTCATTTTTGGGGTCTTAACATTTTTGTAGATTTTGATTTAAGACTAAAATGGAGAATATGAAGAAACTAAATAAAAAGATATTTCATAACAAAAATATTGATATCCACAAAACTGCCTAACCCCATTCATGAAACCCGGGTTTTAAAACTGATTTTCATAACGATACCCTGTCTTAAGTTTTGGGCTCAGGGGTTCAATAATCAATAATCTGAACCTGAAACTTAAGACCTGTATCGTAATGAAACTCAGTATCGGAAACCCGGTTTCATGAATGGAGTTAGGCAGTTTTGTATAAACCAACATTTTTATTATTAAATATCACTTTTTTGATCTCTGTTTTGGTTTTCTAAGTTCAAATCAATGTATTAATCCAAAAAAGGAAACTGAGTTTTATTCAACGATTCTCTCTAAAATTTCCGGCTCTTCGCCGAATGGGGTGAGACAATTTGTTCGATACATACATTCATGGATGTATATTTTTCAGAATGGGGGGGGGGGGGCTGGAAAAAAACAAAATTGGACCGTAAACAGAAACTATTTTTCATTATTTTTTGATACTTTTTCCCAAAGAGTTTATTGATTTGTCCCTAAAAATTATTAATTTCCCCAATTAAGCGAATAAAACCCCCCCAAAAAATTATTTTCCTATTGGAAGGGGGGGGGGGTGTTTGTAAGAAATATTAATCTAAAAATCAAACATTTTTGGAGACACATCTTTTTAATTCTGAACACAACAAATTTGGGCACGGTCGGTCCAGCCGTTTTTACGTTTATTGGATACAAACAAACAATCAGATAGTCAAAGCTATGTATAAATTTGGCTTGTCTGTCTGTCTGTTTTTTTGTATCCAATAAACGTCAAAACGGCTGAATCGATCAGGCCCAAATTTTGTGTGGGACCTCACGTGGCCCCAGGAAGGGTTATGGCCAATCATACGTTAAATATGTAATCATAAAATATTTTTGTCTTAAATTTTTCAATTTTGTAAAATTTTGAAAGTGAGCGAAAAAATAATATGAAATCCGACAATTTTTTTATTTATTTTATACTTTACAAAGAGAAGATGCTCACAGATAAAGCCGCAATTAAAAGTTGAAAAAGAAGATGGGCGCGAAGTGTCCCAAACGTGTAGTATATTATATATAGATAGTGAATAATAAATAGATTTAAGATACCAGTAAAAAGGTGAAATGAAATAAACGATTATCAATCAATCAATCAGTCAACCAATCAATCAATAACACTTAATATTGTAGGATTACCAACCCTACCCTAAAGGAAGTGATATGCTGTGTGGAGATTACCCCAACCTTCCTCTAGTCCCAGAGGCATATAGGTCTTCTACGTATGAATGGGATTACCCGGAGTATAAGAGGTAAAACTGCTTAACTGAAGGACGTCAAGTTAATTACGTCCCTTAGGACAATTAAGTAAAATAAGTAAAAAGTTTTCGTGAACATTTTTTATTAAACCCTGATGGGAGGATGGGCTGGGACCCTCCGCCCCTGACTTTTTTGAAGATTACTCAAAAGAATTCGTCTGTGGCTGTTAAATTTTTTCGACATTTTTAACTAACACATGCCCCCTCGCTTTAGGCTGCCTAAATCCTGACATTTACTGCCTGTATGCCTTATTTTACCTTTACCCGATTAAATCTATATTTAGACCTCATTCCGGTCATTTGATTTTAACTTTTTATATCTCTTTGGAAAGCCTTGAACAAACGAAGCAGATTGAACAATTGAAATTTTGCATAGATTTTTTCTCAGATGCCTTTAAATATAATTTCTTCCTCCTCCTGTTATATCATAATTGCTAAATATTAATTATTTGAATTTTTCCCCTAAAATTTTTTTTGCAAGATTTATTTTACTCCAACTTAACTTTATTCCAAAAGGGGAATTATAAATTAGAATTGTTTTTCGCGAAATTTCGCTTCGTTTTCGCATTTTTTCGCGAAAAAGTTTGCGAAATACGAACGAAAATTTTCGCCTTTTTCGGGAAAGTTTTCGTTCGCTGGAAACGCTAATTCAGCCGTACAATGCTCATAATTTGTCAATTAAACATTTTGATGCTGTTTTCAATCTTTTTTTCCAATGATTTTCAAAAAAATTACTGTTGGCGACATTTCGGGTAAATATAGATAATTTGTGTTGGCTTTTAAGGTCAAAGTGGCATATCAATGTTTAGTAGGCGAAAAAGCTAAAACTCATTTTTTTCTGAGACACCCTGTTACAAAGATATATGTGTTCAGGGACTACGGAGAGACTCCTCATGTTGAGTGGGATAAATATAGAGAGACGAGATACACTCCGCCCCAAAGTAATATTTAATATTAATATTTTTTTTAATAAATATATGGATACACTTCGCTGGTGAGGGGCTTCGACCCCTTTCATTTAAGGATGTGTTGTATGCTAATAATATTGATAATAATGGAGGAAAACTTCAATTGATATACAAAAATTAATTATTTTTACTGAAATCGTTTGTTACAAATAGAACTAAATCATTCAAAATCTAAGAGTTTCAAAGAAAGAAAGGTTTTTTTTAATTGAATGCCTCAGAAATCATTAATTGTTTCAATCAAGATTTTCAACGTAACAATGAAATTTTAGAGCTTTGTTTACAACTTAAGTGTACTGCAGTTTCTTGGGAGCAATGTAAACAAACGCAGTGCTTTGCTCCTCTGAGATACTGCAGTACAATCTTTATTTGTTAACAATGGCATATTTTAATATTCCTTGCTTTATATAGAATTAAAGAAACGAAACAATTTATTTGTTTCTTATTCTCTCAGACTTTTGTGTTTAGATCTTTATTTTAAACTAGCTTTAGAACCTAGTGTTGCCCAGGGTACTCATAGTTTCTTCGCCGTTTACCCGCGCTTGGTCGTAAACTACGATTTTAGTTATTTTCCCCTACAAATCCACTCAACTTATAATCATAAAACCAACTTTAGAATATTCCTGAGATTGCCCCGAGTTACTCAATCAAAATGTGAAACCAATCGATCAAGGGGTTCATGAGTTATGATCGGACATACAAACAGAGATTACAATTTTATATAAAGAGAGATTATATGTTTTTAGATCCCATCTTAAGTATCCCCTACATGTTGTCCTGCTTCTTTGCTGTTGTTGGAGGATTAACTCTGGCTATTTACTACAGCTACGACAATCCTTGGCTTCCACAGTAAGTATTTTCTACCTTTTCTCATGGATATACATTGAGAACCAGAAAACTGGAATCAGGGGCGGATACAGGATTAAAGTGAGGGGTGTGGTAGATTTATTTTGGAACAAAAACATCCAGATTTAGGAACAAGATTTTTTTTAGGATAGATATTTGTCCTGTTTTGCAATAGGTTTTCTTTCCCTTAACTGCTATTGAGGAGCTATTCTAAAATCTCAGGGGGTTGCGAAGGTCCTACCGCCCCCCCCCCCTTCCCTGTTACCGCCCCTGACTGGAATAGGAAGGCAACTTTCAGACTCAAGTTGAGACTCTATTTAGTCCAATGAACATGTGAAGTGTTGACAGACCCATTTCACTAAATATGCGATTCAATAACTTCCTAGTAAAACCATTCTTTGTAACAACATATAATACTTCTTTAATGTCGTCTCTTCCTATTCCACAGTTTTCTGGTTCTCTCTGTAAATATTTTCGAGAATTTACTAGAAGTCAAGTTTTCCTTAGAAAGTCAGACATCCGATTCACATTTCAAAACGTTTTTTGTCGGTTTTTCATCTTGAAAGAACCCAATTCTGGCTGTTAAATACGTTTAAATATGTCAAAAAGGGAATTGTTACTTTTAATTAATTCTTCATAAAAAAAAAAAAATAGTGGACTTTTCGATTCACTACAGTGCCCTTTAACCTGATTAAAGGGACTGTAAAGGAAAAATGAAAGGGGGTATAGGCTGAAATCTAATCACTTAAGCTCTCGAACGCGACCCATGCAAGTTATATCTGATGTGCCTACCTCGAGAAACTGATTTACAACTTTGTCAAATTTATACGAAAATTAATAAATATACAATTTTGTATAAAAGTAGTGGGTATAAAAAGATCAAATTCAGTAAATACGCAACCAATCTGAAAACGATGATATCGCAGAGAAAGCTAATTGTAACTTAGGTTTACTCCAATTCTAAATTTATATTTGTTATTTCTATTTTTTATAGGTTTAATTCATAGTATTATTTATACGTCCGTATTGCTTGACCAGAAATTCCACCAATGGCAGTGAAGTAAAGTGGTCACGTGATACAGTCGGAGACACGTGACCAGTATACTGCTCTGCCATTGGTGATAGTTCTGGTTTTCAAAATTTTACATATATGAACTTTCGAATAATTTTAACACAGTTGTATATCAATTTCTCGAGACAGGAACATCAGATAAAACTCTCATGGGTCGCGATCAAGAGCTAAAGTGATCAGCTTTCAGCCTATACCCCCTTTTATTTTTCCTTTACAGTCCCTTTAACAATGAGAAAATTACCGAAAGTTTTATTTCCAAAAACGTTGAATTCTAACAATTTCCTTCATTGTTTCAGCAACATTAATCTGAAAGTCACTTTTATAGAGAGACCAATGACCATATTTAAAAATAATTAATTTTCTGTCAGAAAAATAATGATATCTCATCCATACTTGATAAGGCCCAGGTTTAAAAGGGTAACTCTGTGAATCGGACTTTAAAGGAGGAGGACTGGAATTACGTCAACGCTGAGAACAGTCCCTTTAATTTAATTAAAGTTGGACGATGAAAAAAAAAAAATTTTATATTATTTTGGAGTGAAAGTAGAATTGATTGCTAAGATATTAAACTAATTATCATTTGGTAACTAGCCTGCTAGCTTCATTCCTGTACTTTCAGTATTTCATACAATTTAACCCAGAGCTTCGGGGAAATTAAAAGAATTCATAAAACGTCGTCTTGACAATTTTTCAATATTATGCCTAAATCTCAGTAGTTTTAAAAATAAACAAAGAGGTCCATATAATTATTCAATTTAAGGTCCATATAATTATAATTATAATTAGATATCTGCAGCATTTCATTATTAGTAGTTTTAGAAAACGACATTTTATAAATTCTTTCGATGTCTCCGAAGGTTTGGGTTATTATTTTTGATTGCTAATAAATCTGTTGATTAGAATGCAACAGCCCCGTACTGCCAAGCAGTTGTATAACCCTGGAGTCACCTACTACACTATGGAGGAACTGGAGTAATTTATAATCTTACATAAACCCTTGTAACTCTTCTTTTCAAAACTTGAAATATATTTAGATTCAAATTGTTTTTCTCGACATATTTTTGTTAAATAATTGTTGATGGACCAAAAACTTTTGACTGGTGATCAATAGCCACAGCAATAAATCGTCCGACCCGCATTCTCCGCCTTTCATCGTCCGAGCCAAGTCCTTTTAAAATTATCTTACAAGCTGTCGAATTCTATAAGGTTAAAACAAAACTCTGTCTTGGTAGTAGCACGTTAGGGTATAAATGAAATATATAAACATGTTATAAATACAAAAAGGAATCTTTCAAGCTATAATTTTAGTTGAAAAAACAAACATTACGTAAAAATAAGAGATAAAGACATTGGTAGCACAACGTTGTGTGGAGAAATTCATAGAAGTTAACTGTAGAATCTTCGATTACTTAAGACCCAACTTCGCATTTTCATCAAATGTATTGCATTAACATCAAACCTACATTCAAAGTATTGAGAAATTACCAAAAAAAAATATTTAGGGTAAAAGAATATTATTTTTTGTGTCTAGTCCTTTTAAATATTTTATTCATTAATTACAAAATTTGAATTTAAGGTATTCTCAACTCCGATGGGAATTGGACCCGGTAAGAACCGAAACACTGCAATAGGAAGACGACACTAAAGCAATAATTAAGTTTATTCGATGTTTTACTTGGAATTTGTTAAATGGGTCTGTTTACGCATGTCTCTCGCTGCGGCTAGAAGTTCAAATACATTTCATTTAAACTTATTTCAAAGAGAATACTTGGCGCTGTTACAGAGTCTTCAGTGTTCAAGTAAAACATTTTTAAGAGATATAAAAATAAATATCTTCCATTTGGGAATTCTAAAAATATTTGAATTAAGTGCGTAGTGGGGATGGGGGCCGGTACCCCTATGCCACCCCCTAGAGCCAGAGGAAGGCTCTAATTTACGACAAACTTACATATATATAATCAAATTTTTTACTTTTCTTATCAATCGACATTTGACAATGTCACATTTTGTCCATTTCATAATTATTTCTCAAATTCATTCTTTACCTTAATCTTATTTACAATATTTTTTTCCCCGGGGTTTCATTCAAAATGATTAGTAATTTGGTCAGATGACTAATAGTCAGCATTCAGGTAGATTGATATACACTTTAAACTTTATTTTTTCTTAATACCGATTTTTTAAAGTGGTTCACAAAAGCAAAATTTTTGGCGTGCCAAAAGTACACCCCCTTAGGCTGAACCTCCACTACGCGCCGGATTTGATTGTCATGATTAAAAACATAGGACTCATAAAGTGGTTTATAAGATTACTATTAAAAATATTTGTGTGTTAATGTTCTCACTTTTATCTATCGTTTTTACTGCCTATATGTCTTCTTTTAACTATACCAGACTAAATCTATATTTAGACCTACTTCCAGTCATTGAATTCCAACATTTTCTAGCTTTTTAGAAAATCCTATAAAAAGGCAACCAGAGCTGGGAACTGTAGAAAGGTGGATATCGGGATTAATGCTTGATCCACTCTTTTTCTTAATCTCCATATTAAAAATTGCTTGTTCTCCTCATAAATTTAATCTTCAGATTAATCCCGATTACTTAATCTGAGTATCAAATGGGCAAACTTTTGATTTCCTTCTTAAAACGTTCTATCTTGGATATGGTAGAGAAAAATCAAAAACCGGTTTTTCTAAATTAGAGAGTTCCTCAATCCTCCCATTTCTCTATAAAATCTTAAATGGCGCGCAAAATTTCAAATTTATCGACTTCATATACGCGACTCTGATTGGTTGAATTTTGTACACTTTTCAGGATACAAATACAAGATTAGATTAGTCTCAATATTATGAAAAAGAGAGGATCACGCATTAATCTCGATATCCACCATTCTAAAGTTTTCAGCTCTGATTGCATAATTTTTGCAGAGAAATTCGGCACAGATTTTTGAACAGAAATGGAATTTTCACATTTTTAGTTTTTCTTGATTACACATTTAAGTTATAAAAATTTTGCAAACTTGCATTCGCAGGGTCAAGGGATTTTCAAAAATGTATAATTTGTTGCTCTTTGCACAACTTATTAAGTTTTTTTGCACAGTTTTTGCTAAACTACTGGATTTCACAATAAATATTTGGATTTTTGCAAATTTCCCATCCAGTCTAAGGACTTTCCAAAAATGTATTAAATATTATAGATTTGTATCACAATAAGAAAATAGAGGGGAGCAGAGGCATATTCAGGGGGGGGGGCCCCTGGACCAGTGAAATCTATTGATTTTAGAAAAAAATGGTATGGACAGTAAAAAAACATTTTTACTTCTAAATAATGTCATTTCCAAATTAGATTTCGTTAAGATCTTAGCATACTACATTGACGTAAAGAAAATTTAACAATGAGTAATGACCATATTTTTTCAAAGTTTTGCAGAGTAGCTTTTCTAAAGATTTAAAAAAGTAACATCTTCTTCCTCTTAGAGTAAAACTATTATTTTTTATATTACTGCCTTTTTTGTCAATGTTTGCCAGCAAACTTAATATAAAAAAGTTTAGTTAAAATAAAATAAATTCAGTTTTTTTTACAGATATTTGTAGTTAATGTAAAATGAGTGACTATAAAATGAAGGGTATAAAACAAGGTGAAAGCTGAAAGGTATGAAATGAAGCCTTTATTTGATGGAGTTTGTAAATCCCAGAAATGAGTGGAAAATGCAAATCAAACCCAATTAAAACCAATAATTTGATATACATCATGATATTTTTCTAGGGGGGGGTAAAAAAATTTNCCCCCCTACAGAATCCTTATCTCCACCCCTGAGCAGGAGAAACCGCATATAAACACTTTTCAAACCAAAAAAAGAATGGATATCGTATTTGATACTTTTTGGGTACCATTGTGAATTATAAATTCCTCGTAATTCCGGGCCATGGAAACCCTAACTTCTATAGGCAATGTTATTTAAAAGTTACAAGTTATTACGCAAAAATTTATGAGAATTTTACCAATTACTTCTTAAAGACTTTAAAAGTTAAAAATTACAGACTAAAAATAAAAAAGTGTCTTATAGTTATAAAATGTAAAGGATTAGGGAAGTGAGTAATTAAGCGGTAAAATCAAAGCCCAACGTGCTTTGAACACGTCGACCCTGTCTTGAAAATTGATGCAACATTTATATGCATGTTGAATATATGTGATAAGGAGGCCTCACAAAACCAATAAAGTTTTCCAACATTTTAAAATTATGTTTTATTTTATAGAATAATGCTAACTTTCGACTCTGACGAGATGCACGGCCGCCATGAGCCCCTAAACTTTAGAGGAATTATAGAAGTAAAAAATAACTTATTTAAAGAAAATATTTAATCTTCAGATAGGTATCCATTGTTATCTTGAATATCTGAAAACATTGCATAATTACAGTGAAACCCTTAATAACGAATACATCGAAATAATTTATCAAATGTCGTCTTGACAATTTTTCAATGAGTTTTATACTACATTACGTAAATTTCAGTATTTGCGAAAATAAATAAACAGCCATGAATATGCGGGAACAGTTTTAAAGAGTTCCATATAATCATTTAAATAAAAAACTAAATATCTGCAACATACCATTATCAGAAAGTGAAGAATACGACATTTGATGAATTCTTTCGATGCATTCGTTATTAAGGGTTTCACTGTATTAAGATATCAAATATTTTTTCCAAAAAAATTTTATACATTACTTCTATTAGGGCCTTAGTGGTAGCGCCAGGTCATTTGCTAATCCAGAATTCTGACATTGCTATTTATTTAAAACTAATTAGATATGTTTTAATATGCTTTGATATTTGTTGCGTACATGTCAGAAAATTACTTTAAACTCTAGTTATTCTAATAAATGTATTAACTATTTTGCATAAGATAAAATCGCACCCTGATCTCTAATAGTTCTTCTTAAATCTATGTAATTGAAATGCTTTGTTATCATTATTGAAACGAGGTGGAAAAAATAATCAAATCAGCCAAAAGCTATTTTCCACCTAATTGCTTTATACTTGTACTGTTAATATTATCATCATAGTTTAGCAATAAACCTTATCTTATCCATTTTTTTGGTCCAAAACGCTTTCGAAAAAAATATCTATAGACACAGGGTAGGGAGGGCCAGGAGGCGCATGTGGTAAAAAGAATACTACAATAAATGATATGCTTAAAATTACTTCCCAAAATCTGTTTAGATTGTTAAAAAGTAAAAAAAGAACACACAAGAAATATAATTATGACAATATTGACATGTACGTATGCGTTTGCTGTATAAACATAAACATTTATAAATTTTTAGTTTTTCGACACAAAATCAATATAAATATATTTTACAAAAGAGAAAAAGGTCTCCAGTAAGTATAAGTATAAGAGTATGTATATTTTCAGGATTAGCAACAAAGGATGCGAATTCAGAGACGACTTAACAGAATTTATTCTGCCTGTTTCTATAAATACTCGGTAAACTGTAAACTTGTTTCTTTCCTTGTCGAATCATTAAATGGAGTGACCGGCTATGTAAGGTAGTTGAACGAGTATGCATTGTTGTGGAAAACTTCTTTCGGAATTCTATAAAAGACTATAATTCAAGGTAGAATACTCAATTAAACCTTGGGTTTGTCATTTTTTAAGAGTTTCAGATCGTCTTTTCAGTCGCATCCTTTGTGGGTAACCCTGTACATACAAAGCAGTCTTAAAAGTAATATAAAAATGTGTAGATATGAACGGTGACATGATAACGCCTCAACACGGAAACGGATCAAAAATAAGCGGTAACCGATCAAATTACACATTTTTTGATGCATTTCCGTGATTTCTTCAAATTTTTCGGAAATCCTTTAAAATTAAGATTTTGAGGAGTTTCCTCTTTTTTTGATCGATTTACCAAAATTGTGAACTCTACTTTCTACTCTACTCTCTACTATACTTTCCACTCTACTCTCCACTCTACTCTTATACATTTATATACGCTCAGAGCCTCAGGGGCGTAAACAGGAACTGGTCTAGACAGGGGGGCTTCAATTTTTTTCTATCCCGAGGGGGCCGGCCGGGGCGATTGAAGCACCCGTAAACGGCCTCGAAAGGAAACAATAGATTTTAGTGATCATGAGGGGGGTCTGAGCCCTAGTAGTCCCCCCCCTGTGTATGCCTCTGCACGCTAACATTATAATCCTCATATTCCCACACAACTCTTATATACTCTCACTCCAGCCTAATTGTTATGATCTTGGAATTCCTAGATTAATTTTACAATCCACCGTCAGATGGGTCTGTGTATCCTGGGGCTTCGTCGTACCGAACCGCCTTTCTTACCCTTACCAGGCTGCTTCTCGGCCTAGCATGCCTAACTCCATCCTAAATCCCGTGTTAAAACGGCCTGGCCCGGCCTGTGCACCTGAAATTCAGGCACTGCACTATAGCACTAGCAGTCTTACTTACTTGGTCACACCACAAGGAGGCCTAACTGATGTGAATTTTAAAGTGAACATTTTAAACCACTGTAAATCAAATTAGTAAAAATGTTAAATGTTATGTAAAGATGATCCTCACTACTCCGTGAAACTAGGTGAGGAAAATGTTTAATTTATTTCTAGAAAATCCACGAAATAGCAAAATATTTGCGGATTTCAGTGTGTTTATCTCTCTCTCTATATATACCTGAGTATATAGACTAGTGATCCAAAGTCTGGTTTAGCAGCAGAGCTAGAGTGTAAAACCATTTCTCTTTCTTGCAATACACAAAACCAGTTTAGGTCGCAGATATAAAATCCTTTTAGATTGACAACATGGTTCAAACTTTAAAACAAAATATCTTCATTTCTACAAATTATGTATCAATAGAGAGTTGAAAGTAAATATAACATGATTTTGTTTTTGTAGCCTAACTAAAACAGGTATTTTAATTGTATAATAAACAAACAAATCATATATGTGTGAGAAGAAAGGCTAAATGAAATTAAAGATGAAAGGCATTAGAAATACAAAAAGAAAAGATCGGATAGAAAATCAAATGAATTTTAAAGAATTTAAGGAAAAATTAAAATTGAAAAGGAATTGAGTCTTTGCCAAAAACTCAAATTTTCTAACTCAATTTCTATTGTGAAAAAAGTAATCAAAGTTAAAACTTACAGAATTTTCAAAAAAAAAATTTTTTACGTCCTTTACTGAGCCCCCCCCCCCCCTGCAGTACACATCTAAAAACAAGTTTGTAAAAGGTTAACTAGTAAAACAACTTAAAAAATTTGCGCATTTTGCAAAAGAATGCATTTTGATCAGTGCATGGTCATGAAGATATAAATATCAATGGTAACAGAGGAGAAAAATACAAAACTACTGGTACAACTTGGAGACCTCGTAGCTCCTGTAGATTTGATCTTACACACAAGGATAGGAGAATCAAAATTATTATAACATATTGGAAATTCAAAACATTTTTGTTCTTTAAACAGCTTTTCAATAAGCGGGGTTTGATTTTTCTTAAGTCTAACTAATGTACTTTTGTTTTTCAGTTAAGCACTGTAAATTTATAAACCCTATATCTTTGCGACCTGATTTTGTAAAGCTTTGATATCACAAACTTTGATTATTGGATTTAACAGAATTCATAGTTTAACAAAACTTTACATCATCAGCTTGCAAAGATATAGGGAGTAGACAATTAGCTAGTTTGTAGCAAGTGTTACTTTTAGTAACCTTTTTGAATATTTGTATTGTAACTTAGTATTATGGTATTAAAAAGCACTATGTTTTTCGTATTTTTAATGACAGAATTAATTTTGATGGTTTCCAGATATTCTTCAAGGTTGAATAGTATTTCAATATTTTTAGAAATATTTTTCAATGAATGATTTCATTCATTTTCATTAAAAACATTAACTCAAACCTTTGGAATTCCGGAAAATTTTCAATTTCTATTTTTTTTTTTTTCACAAAAAAAGAAGTTCACAGAACAAAAAATGCTGCATTCTTGCATTCTTGTGGCAAAGACACTAAATTGGCGTGCAGGGAAATACTTGATTACCATTTATGAAGGGAAATATAATAGAAAATTAATTAATAATGAATTAATTAAATCATAATCTAAAATTAATAAATTACATAGAATTAGGTGTTTAAATTAACATTATGATTCTAAACTTTGAGCAAAATTTTAGCGTTATAATTCAACCAATAGATGTATTTACTTCCTTACAAAAATACCGGTCCTAACATATTTAGAAGTTTTTTTTATAGATTGTTGATTACCGATGAAGAATTTGAATTTTTTAAGTCGTAAATATATTATTTTCATTTTTGAAGGAATTTTTTAATTGCTTAAAACTTAAAAAAAAAAACATGCCAGTGGACCCATAATGGCATAAACTTGCAATTATGTAAAAATAAAACATTTTATATTTAAACTAAAACCAGTCATATATATATAACACTTCTTGTAAAAGAAAATTCCATTTTAAAAAAAACAGATTTTTTTGGATTGGTTAATTCGTGTCACGAGATTTGAAATTGACAAGAATCTGTGATTCTATTTAAAGAACCCTCCATAAATAGAGGGGTTTGTCAGCCCCCTTCAAATTCTAATAAGTTGTCCCGGTTTTACTTGGTGAAAATTGATTATTTATAGTTATGGTTTCTCTTCAGAATTCAACACTTTTCAAGGGAAAAAACTAAATATCTCCTTGATTGTTTCTCAGATAAATATTTTAGGACCGCACCGTTTTGAATCTGACATGCCACTCTAGAAACGTAAGGTCACTTGAAATTACGTTAGCAGTCCCTTTAACAACTGGAATATTTTCAGTAAATATTTGAAGTAAAAGTTGTTGTTTTACATTATTTCTTTGGTTTGCATTTTTTTTACAAAATTGTACGCTTAAAATTAGTGTCTATTCTAAATATCAATTACCATCATTTTGATGCGAAAATTTAGGGCGGCCCACCCCGTTTGGTCGACTCACGCTAGTTTTCAGACTTTAGGCTGTTCAAAGAGAACATCAATAAGAGTAGATCTACGGATAGGAGGGGTTGGTCGACTCAAGCTGGTTTTCAGAGTTTAGGCTGTTCAAAGAGAACATCAATAAGAGTAGATCTACGGAGAGGAGGGTTTTGTTTGTTTACTTTTTACAGTGACGTTTTAGAACAGATTAACAACTGGTTTTATTGTAAACAAAAACAAAGATTGTAAACATGAATGGATTGGAGCTGCATGGATGAAAGGCATGTTTTCTACCTTTTTATGCAGGGTTATCTACAAAGGAAAGCATAAATTCCATACAGTCGTCTCATCCTTCTGAGACAAAGAGAAACAAATATATCTTTTTTTTTAAAAAAAAAAACCTAAGCTGAAGTGACCCCCCCCCCCCCGACGCAAATTCTGGGCAAAGCGGCATCCAGGAAATAGTATTAGGACCGGACTTTTTTTGGCACGGAATTGCGCATCGTTTGCGATTGTTTCCGTAAATTTCACTTTCGCGCAAACATGCGGAATTCCGCGCTGAAGTATACGAAATACGCAAGCAAATTTGCGCGAAAGTTTTCTGGTTTAAAGAATTAAACTTCAGAAAGATCAAAACTTTAATCTGGTTAATTTTCTAAGAATATCATAGTTGAAAAGTACTTTTCAAAGTTTAAAGTTGCAGGTTTAAAAGCATACTTTAATAGAAAATGGTTTGTCAATTTGAATGAATAATGAATTACAAAATAATTGTTTTAAATCATCTGTAAAAGTTTCTTTTCCACAACATGCTTCAATATTTTTTTTTATAATAAATTAAACACTTGAAAAATACTAAGTTTGGAATTTTTTCAGCCTATGTTACCCCCAAGGTATCCATGGGTTCCTTAAAAAAAAATTTTAGCTTATTCGGTCCAGCCGTTTGGACGGCTTTAGGGAACATATATACGAATGTCTTGTTTTATTATAAAGATTACTACTAACGAAAGCTGATGATTAAATAATTCATTCTAAAAAAATATTTGGGAAAAAATTACACTGAATAAGTTTTTGAAAATTAAAAATATATTCACGAAAATTATCCTCAAACCTGGGCTAAAATTTTTACAAACCATAAGTTCGAAATTTGCACAGATCTGTATAAGCATTGCAATTACTTACAACAATCGCGTTTTCTTTTTGAAATGTTCGGTCTCATTTGTGGAGAAATATAAAATATTCCATTCAGTAAAAAAAGAGAGGAACATAGAATAAAAGAAAGTAAGTTATTATGATTTTTTATTACAAGTAGCCCCGCACCTTTCTCATCTTCCCTTTTAAAACACGCTAAAATTTATGGTTAAAGGGACTGTAAGCGTAATTTCAAAAGTGACTCTACATGCAAAGATGACAATGCCCGATTTATAACCTCGCCATTAAAAAGCTTTGTCTGATCAAGTATGAATTAGATATCCATGTTTTGTTTCATTCAACTGTTTATTTTTATTTGTGGTTTCTCTGCCACATTTCTTGCATATGAGAAACAATGGAGAACTTATCAGAATTAATTTCGTTGTCTTCCACATTTTAACCAGACAAAATTTTCAATAGGTTCGTTGTAAATCGGGCATTGCAATCTCTGTATAAAAATAATAATAATGAAATTACGCTCTTTTCACTGTCTTTACAGGAAAAACAGAGAGAACAATTCCGAAAGTAATCTGTTAAACAGTAATTAAACTAAAAAGTATCTATTTTGTAATCAAGGATACTCCAATATTAGATTTCTTAAAAACCATTCTAAAGAACACATAACGAAAAACTGCAGGGTTACCCACTAAATATGAGACTTCAGAAACGACTGTGCTGAGTATATTAAGTTTTTTATCATTATACATTATTTAACATGGTTCCATGCAGTCGAAATATAATTTCTTACTTTGTCAAATCAATTAATGCGATTTATGTATATTTTAAAAGTCAAAGGTTGTCATGAAATTAACTAAAGCAATTGTAAATCCTTTTTTATTGGCACTTTTAATATTATTATGTTACATTTGCTTAATTTATAAATTAAATTATCCCGCACAGTAACCATTTTGAAACAGAACGCCGTCTTTTGCATAGGTTTTGGGCCATTTTTTAATCTAGGAAAATGGCCTGTAACAGTAACACTTTAATATATATATGTAACTTTAAAAAAAGCATGAAAAATTTAATTCATAATTTCAAAATTCATTTAAAATTTGACGATTTTTGAACTGCATTACACATTTTTTGATGAAAGTTCCTTTTCTATTAAGTTTACTTGATTGATGACCAGAAACCTGTGGAATAGGAAGCCGACATTAAAGCAATACTTCAAGATGTTGGGACAAATAGTTTTAACAGTAACTCGTAAAATAACTTATTGAGAGAAACTGGTCTGTTAATACTGAACAATAACTATGTCTCATTTTTACTGTGCTACAGTGAAACCCTTAATAATGAATACATTGGAAGAATTTTTCAATTGTCGTCTTGAAAATTTTTCAATGAGTTTTATACTATATTAGGTAAATTTCAGTAATTGCGAAAATAAATAAAAAGCCATGAATATGCGGGAACAGTTTTAAAGAGTTCCATATAATCATTTAATTAAAAACTAATTATTTACAACATTCCATTATCAGAAAGTGAAGAATACGACATTTGATAAATTCTTTCGATGTGTTCGTTATTAAGGGGTTCACTGTATTTAAAATCCTAAGTTGAGAATAAATGTTGTTTTCCAATTCCAGAGTTTTCTGTTCCTTACTGTATATTCTAAGGAAAGTACAAAACACATGCACACTTCTAGTGTATGTGTATAGGTAAGTGTTAACGTAGACGGGAATTTCCCAGATTAATTCAGGGGAACATCTTTTATCCATCTGAACTGGGTCTGCTTACTCCACCTTATTTCTGCTTTTAAAAGTTTAGTGTAAAAATATTTTTTCAAAAAGAAATTTTAAAATTTTTTCTATTTTTTATATATTTGGAGTCTCGGTCAAGCTAGACTTAAAGGGATTTTGAGAAATATGGAGCAACAGCAATTTATTCTTAGACTTACATATCTTAATTTATGAAAATTATCATTTTATAATCAATATCACTATTATTATTATTATTATTATTGTTATTATTATTATTATTATTATTATTATTATTATTATTATTATTATTATTATTATTATTATTATTATTATTTCAGGATGTTGTCCTATGTTGGGTGATGTAAGAATATGTTTATTAAGTCTAGAGGTGTATGGGGGCAGATCAGGTAAAATATAAAGGGACTGTTCGTTTTATATTTATTATTTAAAACGAACATTTTAAATCCGATTCACAAGGATACCCATTAAATTGTCGTTTTTCCATTTTTAAAATAGATCATTCCCTTTTTATCGTGATTACGTTGTACAAATAAGTAAATTTTCAGATAAACCGCTAATGAACTTTTTCAATTTTTATTAAGAAAAAAATCTCAATCATTTTTATATTCAGTCATGGAACCGGGCATATAACTCATTAAATGTAGAGTTAGTTGTATTTGTCATTAATTTTAAAAATTATTAATTTTTTTTATTTTCTGTGTAGGGTATGGTCCATGAGACTGTCATGAGTTCAGTAGGCAACAACGTTGCCGAACCAACGGCCAAACAGAAAAATAAAAACAACCGTAACGGTTACCGGGCCAAGGAACTTGCGGAGATCAGGAACAGTCTTCGACCATTTGAACAGCAAGGAGAACAGCTGTTCAGAAACACACTTCGACAGCTGAATAGCGAACAGATCAATAACGATCAATTGCGCCAGTTGAACGGTGAACAGCGAGCGCTAAACGGCGATCGACATGTGAACGGTGAACGACATCTTAACAGTGATCATCTACGACAACTCAACGGTGAATTAAGACTTAACTATGACAATGTCAGGTTTGACGAACAGTATCGTCAATATGAGACGGAGCAGCTTCGGAGTGGGAGCAGCTTGAGCGAGAGCAGCTCCGGGGATGGAGCTGCAACTGTTCAAGAGACACTTCAGGATACTCTTAATAAGCTTGCTCTAATGGGATACGATGAGGTAGAAAATCTTTTTAATTAATTTTTTAAATGACACAAGTCATTCCCCGGAGGTAAAACTTTTTGAAAATGATCTTAGGGATTTTTTTTTTAGATTTCAAGATTCAACCGGAGATATTTACGTTTAAGACATTTGAGAGTTCAGTATATTATAAAAACAATTATTTAGTTTTATGAAAGTTTATTTTTTTGATTATTTGTTTTTCTATTAATCTTTTCAGTCCAAATTAATAATTTTGATTATGTTTATTAAACACTAGCTAAACTGCTAAACTAAACTTAACATTTCAAAAGTCGACCAACTTAACATAGAATTTTTAAACCAAGTTTAAACATTCCCGTGGTTCTACCGAGTTCCTCAATCAAAGTTGAGGCAAATTTATCAATGGGCTCCTGAGTTATGATCGGGCATACAAACAAACAGACAAACAGAGAATATTACTTTATATACAAAGATATACAATATCTATTAAAAGATTATGTGGGTGCTTTTAAGCATTCAAAGTTCTACAGAACCTATTTACATGATTTATATGTAAACAAAAATCGAGGTTTTCAGTAACCGCTTAGCCAAAGATGGTTATTTGGCTTGGTTTGCACAAATTTTAAGTACTTTTCGAAAAAAAAAACCAAATTATTTGAAGATTTTTTAAACGCTTCAATTAAAAGAAATTCGAAATAATATTTTAATTTTTCTTGGAAATTTTATAATTTTATAGAAATCAAGGCGGTTTACAAACTTTGAATTTAAAATTAGACTTACAAATTATTAGGATTATTTGTTTACTTACAAATTATTAGGATTATTTGTTTACTAGCTCCATCTATTAACTCAAAAATTCTTAGATGTACATTAACTAAATAAAAAGATGGATTAATATATGTTATGGATATGATAACAAAGAAAGTTTGTGCGTATTCCTCATATTTTCCAACATTTTTCTTCGCGTTTCCAATGGAATGTTTATATTTATGCTAAATGTCAAGACCTTTATTTGAAAACCGTTGGTGCCCCCCCCCCACCAACCATTCTCAACCCCACCCTTTCTTAATTCATTGTTTTCTTCAGTTCGGATTAGACATCACAACAAACTACTTAAAACAAACTACTATAAATATATGTTTGGATGTCTGATCATAACTCACAAACCCCTTGGACTGATTTGTCTCAAACTTTAATTAGGAAACTCGGTAGAACCACGGGAATGGAACAGTTCATAGTTCTAGGCAAAGCTGGGTTCACCCAACAGTGTTTTACAAAACATCCTTTATTTTTTACATAGTTACCCTTCATATCTTTACAGATTATTATCAGTTTTTAATATTCATACATAAAAGGTTGTTTCTAGGGTTATTTGAAATTTTGAAATATTCTTTTTTTTGGAAATCTTTTCATATAAAAATATATGTGTACTAAAATGCTTGCATGATACAGCACATGCATATATGTAAATGCTGAAAAGAAAGAAATTATATTTTGCTTGGTTTAGAAGCAGCCCCTTTATTTACAGTAGAGATGTAAAATATAAAGAAATAATGAGATATATATATATATAGTAGGTCTCAGGTGGTTTTATTTCTAATATATCAAATATCTTTTCATCTATTTATTCATCTAATGTATACAAATCCATCCATCAATATCGAGTATATGCATCAACCTTTGGCTTAACAATGCAAGCAGTTTCATTACACATGAGAATTATCAAACTTGCAAGGTTTTTTTAAATTAATTTTTTACCTTTAGATTGTTGTTATTTTATGAACATCAGAACTGGAGAATCTACGACAAAGTCGAAAATGTAGTTCTGCTTTAAGCAAACTCTTGTTGCAATATTGAGATTTAATTATAGTCTAATGGCGAAACCAAAGATTTTACCCTTCTTTACATATAAACCATTAACTGAGTCAATTAACAATAATATCATTTATCAATATTTCTATTGACCATATATAACTATTCATTCATTTATTGTAAATAAAAAAAAAGAATTTTAATTTTATCTAAATTGATAAAGTCCCAATGGACCTGACAATGTTAAAAAACATTTGCTTAATTAGTAGTTTTTAGAAGAATTAAAAAAAAATATTTGAACTGAAATTCAAAACTGGTTCAGAAAAAAAATCAATGAAATATTTTTTCTGTTCCTTAAATGGGACAAAAAAATTCTTCTAGAATCTTTTTTTATATTTACCCTTAGAGTACATTAAAATATTTCAAGAAGCTCAAAAAATGTTGAAAACTTTTATATTTTTCAAATAATTAGCTCTAAAATTTGACTCATACAAAACTTTTTAGAATCTTTGTTAACAAATGCTTTGCTTAGTTTTCTTTGAAAGTCAACATATTTCATAATAAAAAGTATCCTGACGTTACTTTACGTCCCTTGGGACAATTAAGTAAAATAACTACCCACCCTAGGAAGTTTTTTTTAAAAAAAAATTCTCACATTTTCATCCCAAAAACGATGAAATTGTGTACGACTACTTTTTTTGGCAAATTAAACATGTTCCCTCCACCAATTTTGCCTGGTCTTGGAAACCCTTGGTAAAGTATAATTCCCTGAACTTCCCTGTAAACTTGTTGTAAATAATTATTCTAAAGGACTGTCTAACACTATATCCCTGGCTTGAAAGATAGTAAGGTAGAGGCAAGGTATGCAGGTCACCATGGAATTCAGATATATACATTCCTCAAATAATTTTCCGCCAGTCTCAGGGGGGTTCACTTCAGCTCGGGGTAAGGGGTGGGGGGTTCTGCATACCCGCCTCCATCTATGAAAAAAAAAATTGTCGAAAAAAGTTAGAACTGAGTTTTGTTTGATTTATAAAATTCCCCCTCCATGATTCATAAGATTTTCCCTAAAATCTAAGTTTGGCAAGACACAAACGTTTTTTGTCAAACAAGGTTACCCTCAAAGGATGAGACTTCAGACGACTGTACGGAATTATTTAGACTTATTTCTTAGTTGCCTTTTATTTTCTTTGTAAAATCATTTAGCGCACATATAAAAGACTATATTTAAGACCAAGTTATATCCTCAAATTTCAGAGTTTAAGATTTACGAGTATTGTCATTAAAGTCTCCTCCTTTGTGGCTCACCCTGTATTTTGTGGCTCACCCTGTATTTTGTGGCTCACCCTGTATTTTGTGGCTCACCCTGTATTTTGTGGCTCACTGGATTATAAACACTGTTTAAGATGGATGTGTTCAAGTAGTTTTGCTGAGAGTTCGGCAGATGAGCTCAAATCGCGTCTACAATACACGTCCTAAAGAAATCAAGTCTTTTCCACAGTTTAAGAATTTAGTATCCCTATATCTTTGCAACCCAATGTCTTATTTCTGAATTATGTTAGATTAAATATTCTAAGTTTGAAATATCAAAGGTTTACACCATAAGGTTACAAAGATATTGGGATTAAAAGATTTAAACTTGTGACAAAGACTCAATTCTTTTGCAACATAAACAGTTAAACCCTAAATGAGCCATACACCGAAAGAATGTATCAAATGTCGTCTTGACAATTTTTCAATGGGTTTTATTCTATTTTACGTAAATCTAAGTATTTGCGAAAATATATAAATAGCCATAAATATGCGGGAACAGTTTTAAAGAGCTCCATGGAATTATTTGATTAAAAAAATAATTAAAACCAGTATCAGTAAGTGAAGAATAGAACATTTGATGAATTTTTTCATTGTATTGCTTGTATAGGGTTTAACTGTATATATATTTTTAAAGCATAATATATATCGCGTTTGTTTAAGAGTATTGGTTTTTGCATTTGATGTTTGATCTAACACATGGCACTCTGTCGTTAATGCAGAATTCAAAGATTAACACAAGAAAAAAAAACTGAATGCAGGGTGAAAAAATGAATGAATGTAAGGATACAAGAAAGGATAAATGAATTAAATTAATAAGTTTTAAAATTTGAAAGGATGAAAGGAATGAAGAATGAAAAGATGAATGAATGAATGAAAGGATGAAAGGATGGATAGATAGATAGATGGATGAATGAATGGAACAAAAAAGAGTTTAAGGATGAATGAATGAATGAATGAATCAAATAAAGGAAGGATGAATGAATGAATGAATCAAAGGATGATAGGATGAAAGGATGAATGAATGATTCAAAGAAAGTAAGAAAGAATGACATGAGCATGAAAGGATTGATTAATGCAAGGATGAAAGGAGCAAGAAAGGATGCATTAAAAAATGAATGAAAGAAAGAAGTAAGGATGAATGTTCGAAGAATATAAGGATGAAAGGAGAATGAATGATGCATGGATGAATGAATGAAAGTAGAAAAAATGAATGAATGGTAGGATGAAAGGCTGAAGTTAAAATATTACATCACGAAGTTAAAATATTACATCACGAAGTTAAAATATTACATAACGAAGTTAAAATATTACAGCAGGAAAGATCAGTGGTAAAAAGCTAAAATTTATTCCAAAAAGAGGTGCACATTGTTTAAAAAATATACGAAAAATAAAGAAATTTAAAGCGTGAAATCCTTGTAATTTGACATGCATGGCAACGCGAATTCATGAAAATTAAGTTTTAGTATTTTTTTCCCTTTAATGACAAAACAAAGCTTAACCGACAAAAGAAAATAATGATTTCTGAAGACCATTAAAAAAAATGAATAAGAAAAAAAGGGAGCACGAGGGAAAAAAGTTCATTAAATGATTTTTAAAACTTTAGAAGGTTTTTAAAAAAGCATTTTAAAATCATTAATATCCCTTCAGTTAGTATTAAGTTCGTATAAAAATAATTGAATAATTTTAAAAGTTACGTTAAAAAAGTATGGAAATTGAACCTACTGAAACATAATATTGTTACTTATTTGAAACTCTCTAACTTGAAAAAATAAAATTTTTAATCCTGAAAGATGTCGGAGTAATGTAATTTATTGTTTTTATCTTTTAATATAATGAACCTGACGTGAAACAATAAAATTCCATTGCTGACATTTTTGACGACTGTTATCATT